CACTATAAATCCCCCTTTTTTGGGTTTTTTTTTTCCCCGATATATTTTTATTTTTTTTTATTTTTTTTTTTTTTTTTTTTTTTTTTTTTTCCCCCCCCCCCCCCCCCCCCCCCCCCCCTCCTCTTTCATGAACTCCAACGCAACTAACTCAAGTCGCAGGGATTTTTCATAGTCATTCTGTATAATGGATACCAAGGTGGAATTTATCCCGGCCTCGGTGTCCATAATTGGCAGTTCAACCCTGAACTCGCGACAACTTCACACTTCGTAAGGTCCCATAGTCATATACTCCGAGGCGACAGCTAATAGTCTCTAGGACTACAAACTCGCAACTATATCTTTTGGTCTTGGGATAGCATTCTTGAAGGTTGCCATATTGCTCGATTGGGTAAATATATTTGTGCCCACGGGCACTCGCAATAGTTTATTTTGGATTCTGCAATTTTTAATTTGGAGCAATGCCTTATTTTACTTCATTGGGTCCTTCATTGATGGCTTGATATGCCAGCAAAAGAACTTGGTTACTGCCAAGTGCGGTGCCAAGCTAATGAAGTATATCGTCGCTTCAGGTGTTGTTAATCTGGTTTCAGATCTCATCATTCTCATAACACCCCATTGGGTGATATGGAAGCTCAACATGTCCACCACTCAAAAGAAGGGCATTTCATTGTTATTCGTAATAGGCTTACTGTAAGTCTCTTCTTTATCTTTCTCTTATGATGGGCTAACGGAACTCGAATTACAGAGCAATTGGCAGTGCGCTGGCTCGTTTGATATCTGTCATAAATGCGTATCACAAACGCGATATGCTGTATTATGCTGTCATGGTAAATATCTTGGCAATATTAGAGCAGACATTCGGTTTCCTCGTCATCGGCGTACCAGCGATTCCAAAGGCCTTCCATAACTCTCGCTGGGCCAAACGCTTCGGGACTCTTTTGCCTCGATCCAAACAGCCCTCGAATTCCATATATCATCGTGAGCAAGGAACATGGCCAGTTTCTGGCCGGCGACGACATCAAGACCCATGGGATACAGATACACGGGCTTTAGTAATCGGCGACGAAGACGAGGATATTGCATTGCCAGAGCAGACACATATACAGCACGGTAGGCGAAATTGCTCGAAGGATGAGTTGGGAATAAATGCTTAGTGGGTGCGCCGCACATCAGAGTTGAATAATGATACCAATACAAGACTCAAGATCACAAGATCGAAGATAACCTCGAAAAAGCAATCTTTATCTTATGCGAGAAGGAAAGCTCAATATAGAGACACAGCAGGTGTGTTATAACCGCGTCTTCAGTGGTGTGACGCTCGAGGCTTGCTTCCATAACTACCCGAGAAGTGGAATAGCTATCTCAGGGTGTGCTATCTCGACTATCTCACCCAATTCGACAATGCGGGTTTGGCTCCTGTCCAGGAAGCGTTCCTTATCCGTCGTAATGGTAACAGCGATGTCCGGCTGTTGGATGAAATCACAGTCCTCCCAAAAAGCTGCTGCATTCCTGAAATCAATGGTGCAGCGCTTCAGCGAAAGTATCAGAGCGAAACCAACCTTAGGCAACGACACATCACATAAGTAGCACCTTATTGGAAACCTGTTGTTATTGTAAATCACCTTGTTTAGCATAGAAAATGTGAGATAGCGTATGAAGATGTATCATGAGTTGAGTTGCTCCATGTTGAGGGTTGGATTTCAGCAGTACAATTGGGGCCCTTCAGGGATAGAGATGGGAGGGGCGGGTTCTGTCAAATCGAACCCGGGAGCCCAAAACCACAAAATTTGCCCATTCAGAAATCAACAGAAGCCCGCCCCTCACTCAGCCGAAAGCGCCGAACTCAAGCCAATATCCGAGGGGAAAACGCAAGATTGTTGTATGTGGGTAGGTACGAAGTACGGCGGTTTTCGTTTTGCGGGGCAATATATACAAGTATGCAACTATACAACTATAGATAGCTCCATATAGCAATATGGAAGCTACTTGTCGAGGTTATTCACTTAAAATGAACATTTTCAATGACGCCCGCGCCGAAGATATCCGTTATCGCAACATGCTGCCGACGCATGAACGGAATGCAACCTCCGCAGGATTCAAGCGGCTCCGTCTTGCGTGCTAAATCTCCCCGCTCAGGCGGTCTCTTGCTGAGAAGTCAAAGACCGTACGCCAAGAATGATCTAGAGAGTCCTCTCGCCCGTGCTAGGCAGATCTTCATTCAAACATGTCGGCTCTCGCGACCCATCCAGCCCGGGGAGGGCTTCGCACCCTGGCCGCTCGGAGCTCCCGTCGAACAGCCCCCTCATGCGTCACAAGCACCGGAGCTCTTCGAGCTTACTCAGCCAAGAAGGATCCTTCCGAACCATCTTTCCAAGGCCAGATGCTTGAAAGCATAAGCTCCCGTATCGCCCGAGAAAGAGCAGAGCGCGAAAAGTTTGCGAGACAAAGGCTAGAATCAGCAGGCACAAGAAGATGGGCTACAACATTTGGTACCAAGAATCCATTCACCTTCGAGAATTTAAATATCTAAGAAAGCTAATCACTGATGACACTAGTGGTCCTCTTTGCTGCGGGTTTCTCGTACTATCTCGGCACGAAATCTCCTCGCGACTTGGATCCCGCCTCGACGCTACCGCTTGCTCTATCGCGTGAAATTAAACACAACAACGACAAATCGAATCTAGAGGCGGCTTGGTCTGATTTTGTCGCCGTCGTGGGGAAAGAAAATGTTAGCACTGTCGAAGATGATTTACATACACACGCCAACTCGGACTGGTCGAGCTACCGCAATGAGGAATCGCAAAAGCCGGTTATGGTCGTGTATCCCGGATCCACCGAAGATGTTAGCAAAATTATGAAAATATGTCACGCCCGCCGGATACCTGTAGTTGGATACAGTGGAGGCACGAGCTTGGAAGGGCACTTCACTCCTACCCGAGGAGGTATCTGCGTCGATTTCAGGAGGATGGACAAGATCATACAACTACACAAGGATGATATGGATGTCGTCGTTCAACCTGCAGTTGGCTGGGAACTTCTGAATGACGAACTTGCCAAAGACAATCTCTTCTTCCCTCCAGACCCAGGTCCAGGTGCTCAAATTGGCGGCATGATCGGGACTGGATGCAGTGGTACCAATGCTTACCGGTATGGTACTATGCGAGAATGGGTGCTGTCTCTCACTGTCGTCTTAGCAGACGGAACTATCATCAAGACCAGGCAACGACCACGAAAGAGCTCTGCTGGTTATGATCTGACCAAACTATTCATCGGAAGCGAGGGCACTCTTGGTTTGGTCACAGAGGCGACTCTGAAACTCACGACAAAACCGGCTAACACTAGTGTCGCTGTTTGTAGCTTTGGCACAATTCGACAAGCAGCAGACTGCGTTTCGAGAGTCGTTGGGCAGGGCATACCTGTTGCTGCAGTGGAAATACTGGATGACGAACAGATGAAATGTATTAATGAAGCCGGTACAACATCAAAGACCTGGACAGAGGCGCCCACGCTCTTCTTCAAATTTTCGGGGACCGAGCGAGGAGTCAAAGAGCAGATAAGCATTGTTAAAGACCTCGCCAAAAAGGCTGGCAGCGTAGGATTTGAATTTGCCAAGACTCAAGAAGAGCAAACCGAACTTTGGAGTGCTCGTAAGGAGGCTCTCTGGAGCACAATGGCTGTGGCAAAACCAGGCGAAAAGGTTTGGACTGGGGATGTGGCCGTACCAATGAGCCGGCTATCCCAACTCATTGAAGAAACCAAGGATGATATGAAGAAGAGTGGCATGTACGGCACCATTGTCGGCCACGTTGGCGATGGAAACTTTCACAGTACGTCTTCAAACAATCTTATGTCGGGTCAACATGCTAATCAGGCTAGTTATTCTCCTTTCCAATGAGAAGCAACGTCATGACGCCGAAGAATTAGTCCACCGAATGGTCAAAAGGGCAGTCGAGTTGGAAGGCACTGTGACTGTAAGTTCTCGCACACGTCCCCAGAACTGACGTAGGCTGATGTCAATTAGGGTGAACACGGCGTTGGTCTAGTGAAGCGTGACTACCTCCCACATGAGCTTGGAGAGACCACTGTAGATTTGATGAGAAAGGTTTGTTAATTAACCTATATATATGTTCAGTAATCAGTGAACAAGTTGCTAACATAGTTCTTCCCATCACAGATTAAACAGGCACTTGACCCTCAATACCTACTCAATTGCGACAAGGTAATCAGGGTACAACGCCCAAAGCCTGGCGAGGTCCCTGAATGGTGACACATGTAATCATCCTGTATATTAACAGCAGATGCCCGATTACTGGCACTCTTGTATACCATGTCATGCTTGTCAAACGCACCATATTGTCAAATCATGATACCGAACACATCACACTGATTTGCAGCTTGATTTGACGGACATTTTCAATGAGGAATTATAGGTGGCACTGAATACGTGGCATTTATTTCCGTCCGCTGTCTCCAAAAGTATTAAGTGAAAAGTGAATACATTAGCTCGAATAACGAGGCGTGGTAACCAACTACTAGACAAACCGGTACTTGTTCCTTCAACACTCCATATCGCCTGCCCACGCTCAACAAGTTGCCGTCAAAACACTTAAAATAATGCGTACACGAGCAGCAGCATCACTGCTGTTGCTGGCACCACGTTTGCCGACATGCTATTTGCCTTCGACGGCCACGACGGGTGGAACAAGCCGCCTCCGAGTGGATAGATGACATCATCGTGAGTTTCTTTGGTAGTATCGGCAATTCTGATGCCGCCATTTGTGTATTCACGCCCACTGACGCCGCTGCTGGAGGAGCCGCTGTTCCAGCCGGAATTTGGAGGACTGATGGGCGAACCGCGGCGGACATCCACCGCGCTACCTCCTTTCTTGATGGAAACTCCGGTTGGAATTATGATAGGAGATTCAAGTTCTCGAGAAGCAGGCTCTGGGGTTTCCTCGACACCTTCGGTCTGGATTGTGGGCGTAGCCCCAAGGCCGTGCGATGTGGTAAGGGGAAGGCTCACAATGTCATCAAGGGATGGGCGTATGGACACGCTGAAGTAGCCGCTCGAGGTCGTGATTGACGGTTTCTTTGTGGAGTGGCTGGAATGTGTAAGCTTGCTCCCAAATTTGCTAGTGTTGCTATCGTCGTGGCCACTATGAAGGCTGCTATGAAGGCTGCTATGGTGGCTGGTGTGGTGGCTCGTACTGGAGTGGTGGCTCATACTGGATTGGTGACCTTGGTGCTTGGAATGATGGTGATCTTCCGCGGGCATAGCGCTCACCATGGGGACGGCGAGGGCCAGTGCGAGGGTTAGGCTTTTGAGGGACACCATTGTGATAACAACTTTGCGTTTCGTTTTCTGTTTTTCTCTTCAATGTCCGGCGATGATACCAGCTGTGAGATTCCTCCAGTGACTTGATTGTGGTGGAAAGCTATTAATGAAGAAGAGTAAATGTTCGAGGGAATTTACTGGTATGCGGCGGCCTAGAAATACCATGATTCTGTTCAAATAAGTGGTGCGTCAAGGTGTACGCGTGATCCTGAAATTGTCCTGTTTTGCTTAAAGCTACTTGGGAAGTTTCGTGGTCTATGCAAGTTATCTGGAAAGTTACCATCCCAGTTTCCAGCTTGCGAGCTTAAGATTAGGTTCGATCGATCTGAGATGTAGGTATTTGTGATCAGGGAGAGGGAGCACTGTAATGGCTGGTGTAACTGAATATAACTGAATGCAACTCGGTCCGCTGCACAGACGAGCTGGAAGTTAAAACGAGCTTCTTGAAACCTTATTCAAGATGTTCTTCCCGCCTACTTCTTCATACCTTCATGAATGCATAGAGCTAGTTCCATGTGGTACCATGGCAGGCAATCTCCAGTGGGCTTCGTCATCATCTACTGCTTATCTCCAGTGTACAGACAAGTCTTTCAATTTGATGTACCTTGGTAGGATTTATCTACTAAATTGCGAGTGTTAACCACCCTACTATAACTAGCAGAGCGACATGACCAATCATGCACATTCTGTAAAAAGAAAAAGCTAATGTTGATCATGGGTATAGTAAAGGTTGCATTTGTTCATGCTAATTCTTGGTGGAGATGAAGAACCGTTCATTGGTAGACGAAGCAGAAAGGGGTCCCTCCAACAGTGTCCAGAAGTTGACGGAATTGAAAAGATCCTCCCACCGGTTTGATATCCAATACGTCATCAAGCGTTCCATTTCGGCTTCGTGGTTGGTTCATCATCGTGATAGTTCCGGCCATAGTCTGTAAGTAGAATACCGGAGTAAGCAAACGTCCACGTGTAAATAAGGCTATTAAAACCTACCTGTCGCTTCGCCCAGTCAAGCTGGCTCCAGATCCAGTACATCTTATCAATAGAACTATGATGAAGGTAGAAGGCAGGCTCAAGTGGAGAGAAGTAGAAGTCACCACCAGGGTCACCGGCTGTACAGAAATGTTAGCACTGCCGATTTACCTTTGAGAAAGACCGGCGCATCTGGAACCGGGTTGAGTTCGAAGTGACAGCTTACCAATTGTAAAGTGGCCACCACCATGCACGGCAAAAGACCATTTCCGAGCCGCGGCATACCGGAAGTCTCCTTGAACATTCGCCTGGAAGCTCTCTACATCCGGGCTTTCGAGAATGGTCTCAGTAGTATTGCGAAGTGAAGCGTAGGTCGAACACATGGCCGTGTTGAGATCTCGCTTCAAGCATCGCGGGTTCGGAGCGAGGGGGTTTCGGGCTGTGTTCGGGCCAAAATTGACGGTGTAATTCTTAAATGGTCCAGTTGTCACACAGCCGCCGCCCGAGCCGCCAAAGCCGAGACCGCCACCGCTCACTTTGGCGCCGTTCGATCCCATGGACGTCTCGGAGCCGTCAAATAACGGCGACTTCTCAACACCACCGGCATCAAGACCCCATTCCCAATATGGGAATGATCCTGTATATCCACAAAGATCGCGCAGCTTCTGTTCATATGTCCAGATGTACAGGCGATGGAAGAGAAGGAAGTAGGCCTTGGGTTTTGTTAGTGGAGAAAAGCATAAACCGGAGTATTTACGGCCAACATACCGAGTTGTGGACATATGGCGTCAGATAATAATGAAGAACCCCAAAGCTATCGAACATAGATCTGTGTCGCATATGTTAGAGTAAGATAATACTACTAGCCATGTGAGAAGCACTGTCCACATACTTTGGGCCGGCAGAAATATTCTGGTAGACATTTGGTTGTTGCATCAGACATTCAACAGCCTTCCTGTAGGCGATCCTCTCAGATCCAGGTAAGTTTCTCCTATGATAGTCATTAGTATTTAGATTAGTCAGGATATAGGTGGTTCACGCACCATTCCTTGCGTACGTGGACAGTGTCCTTTGTGCAGTTTGACGTGCTACCCCCAAGGCGTTTCATAGAGGTGTCATAGGCAATCTTGCCCATCTGTTGAAGGGCTTTGCCAGAGTTAATATCATCTTGGCTGTATGTCTGACCCAACACGAGCCCACTGTAGGACGTGGCTAGTAAAGTCAGCCATAAGGCTTGCTGGAAAAGAAACATTATGTCGAAGTGGTAGCTTCCTCGGGGGCCCTTGAGGAGCAAAGACTCGGCACCAGAGTGCTCAGAACCATGTGTTTATTTATGGCTGACGGATCGCAACCGTTACCCTAGGTGCCAAGACTATGCCTTCATTTACAGCAGGATCCGGGGAACGGCACATGATAGACAAGCAGGCGGTGCTACCGTTCCTCAGCAGTACCAAGCATCTTAATATTAATAAAAGAATGTGTGCATGAGCCTTGACTCGGGAGTTAAAAGCCTCACTTGGTCAATTAGATAAGGCGGAGCGCGATTGGCTCTTGTCGCTGATCGTGCTCATTTTGGTGGGCAAAAATAAAATTCGATATTTGCCGGGAGTACGTCAGAACGACTCACGCGGAATTCAGTTTGGGATAAATAAGTGCTTCATCTGGCTCCTGATTGGAGAAGGAGAATGCGGAGGGACCGAATTGAGCAGAAGCTGGATTCTCCCGGAATCGCAATTTCGGCCCAGCAATAACAGAGCGTCACATGGTAGTCCGAGCATTCTATACAGCGGATAATACGTCGGTCCGCTGAAAATCTGGCGAGTAGTATCGTTAGTTCGCTCGGGACTGGACGACGTAAGCTGTAAGTTCAAGGTGAGCATGCGGCAGATAGGAGGATCTTGGTCACAACTCCCTGGTAAGCCCAACAACACTCACGGCCGGTAATTGTGCTCATATAACACGGCAATTTATTTCCATTAAGTAAGAGATTCACGATTTACGTCTCAATTCTTAGGGGTGTGTGTTCAACAACACACCAGAAACAACTCTCAATACAAAAATGGATGGGAATCTCGACAATTACGAGGATACGTTTCAGCGACAAGATTAACGGGTCAAACTCGGCTAAAATAATCAGAAAGGTTTAATCTAATAGTATAGTTAAAATGGAACTACGTAGCACTAGTGATTTTATATTATTGAATCAAGAGCTTAAAAGGAGAAGCATACATTGAGGTTTATTTGATGTTCAATTTTCTGTTAGATCTGCCGTGTTTCTATATCTGTCAGACTCCAGATACTGAGATAAAACAGTAGATGATTGAGAAAATCTAGGGCTTGTGAGAATAATGATCCTGGTAATGAGATGCTTTCTCAAGACTCCTTCTCCACCCCATCGAGACCCTTCCGTGACAATGTGCATAAGAGGCCGCAAAAAGAATCAGGCGTTGCGAGTTGGCTAATGCGGTGACGTGCGCGGTCTTTGAACGTTGCTTTTTTCTTGCATATTTCCATCGCCTTAAGCTGCAGGAACATGAGGGTGTGAAAATAAATCCAACAGACGTCTTCTGTCCACGTCTCTTCTCTGTCATATCGATGATTTCTCAACCAATTTAGCATGGCGGTTCTTGCGGGGTAAGGTGCCTCTAGCTGTTTTAACATGAGGATTATGAATCGTGCGTAGTGCTCTTCTGCAGGGCTGTCTTTGTCGACCGGGCTTAGTGCGAAGTTCCGCCATGCGATTTCATCCCTGTGCTGCTTAACGAGAGCTAGTGTGGGAGCGAATTTGGGAAGTGGAATTCCCCATCGGCTGCGGGTGTAACCTAGGACGAATTCATCGCGTGGTTTTTTTATTTCAGGGCTTATGAAGATATAATATGCCCTGGCTCTGGCTAAGACATCTTGGGTTGAATCAGGGCCAAAACCAAAGAGGGGTGCAAGTTCAGCAGCGACCAGTTGAACATTACCCGTTGAATGTTTGTTTTTCGTTGAATGCTTATAGACCGTCATTAGGAATTTTTCAGCTTCGTCTGGAAAGTCTATCGCCGGATTGATTACACACGTAGGTGTTCTCTGGGGGGCGGACTGAACTGTATCATGTTGTTGGTTAGACATGACGAGATCAAGATGTGGGGTGAAATGAGTATGTAGTAATCTTTTGAACAACTTAAAGTGTGAATATATGTCAGAGTTAGATGTATTTAACTTTTGTGGTCTGTTGACGTTTGGTTAGCAAGAAATTACATCAATGGCAATAGCAATCCTATATACTCAATGGCCCCTATTGACAACGCCTTTGTAGTGGGGACTCTTTATCGTCTATTGTTTCGAAACAATGTAATGGTCATAGCTTCAATGTCTTTCTTGTCTAGAACATACCCAGGTAGTATCACGAGCATTGTAGTTACTACAAACCACTTTCACGGCGTTCTTTATCCACTCTGACTGTTCTATAGCAATGGCCGATTGCATTGACCAGCCAGCTATGAGCTGATAAAGCCGAAACTTGATGCGATCACTAGAGCTAACATAGTGGAATTGTTAATACTCGGACAATGAAATATAAGTTATAGGTAGATGCAAAATTAAGATAAAGGATCGAAGCACTGTTCAGTTTGTAATACATGATAACAGCACCAGGAACGGCGAGTCCATCTAGACAGTTTCCACGCAGCTATTCCAAACCAACCCCTTCTCCAAGACTTCCCTGAGAAGATTGCACAATCTCTCCAACGCAGAATCAGTGATCTGGTAGTGAAAAGCAAGACGTCCAATTTGCAGATCTCGAAATTTGAGATCATACTTCTCAGCCAAGGGTTAAAACTATTCATATCCGACTCCAGAGCCATCAAGATCAAGCCAGACAAAATTCGTCTCTGTCAGCATGAGCAACTTCCCTCCAAGACTTTCCCACAGATCCGACGCATGTCTGGCCTTCCTGTGCACCTCTTTCACCTTCCCGGCAAAGAAAACTTGATCCGTGCATACCCTAGCCGGCGCAGTGATAATGCCAGTAGCGCGCATCCCACCGCCGAGAAGCTTGCGATACCACATTGCGCGATGTATATATGTCTCGATTTTCTACAGCTCATGGGATCCGAGGGCCACGGCGATGATCGACTTCTAGGAGTGTGCCTTGCTGTTAAGATGAAATCTAATTGTAGGTAGTCAGCACATCGGTAGCCGCTCCCGGTTGCTTAGGGGGTCAGGGGTTTTGATTCGGATTGCCGAATGTCTCATCGATGCAAACTTTGGGATCAACAAAGAAAAGCAATTGCTCAAAAAATGAACACAAGAAATTTAATATAGCTTTGAGGCCAGCTTAGAGAAGACATAAGCTAGATAAAAGATTAGCAGAATATAGAGCGCAGAGTACATCTATCTCACTAGTTGGAGAGCTCCGAAATTGATAGATTTAGGGTGATAGCTTCGCATCTTCAATACTTTCATTATATTGAGTAATCGCCTCCTATTTACTTAATTAGGTAGTTATGCGCCATCGGGGTGTGTGAACCAAGCAGATATAGATACAGATTCTCTACCTTACTATCTGGTGACTTACTTCGCAGATGGTAGTTATCAAGATTCTGTAACACCTAATCACACGCACACCTCGAAACTTTAATCTTAGCATCGGAATGAGACTAACCGCTGCTTTTGAGTCAAACGATATCATATGATGACATCTTATCAGTAATTGAAAGGGGATTCACGTTGCATTCCTGGGACATGAGCTTGTTTTCTTTTTTATTTCTGTGCATAGACTACATCCATAGACTACACCCGAGAAGCCTTGACACTCTCTGAGAAACATTTCAATCTTCAGATCCCTATTCCTCGACAGAACCACCTATCCTGGAATCTTTCGCTCCTATGACAAGGCCCCGTCAATCATCCAAACCAAATAGGTATGTCCATATACCTTTTTACAAAGTCGTGACGTTAGCACACACACTCGACTCGCCCATAGGATGTTGTAGGAACAATGCCTTGTCTGTGACGCCTTATAAGTGTCCACAAAGTGCAGTGCTATCATTGACACCGCGTCAGGAAAGTTGATGTATCTGCAAGACCCGAGCTACTAGCTCAAGAAGGAAGCCTCACAGTCATAAATCGCCACCTTCAGAGATGGCTCTAACTTCTATCAACAATATCGGGGTATAGTTTTCACAAAGACGACAAGGAGCGGTGTGACAGGTCGTTGTGTTGCGAGTCGTAGCTAAAAAGGAAAGTTGAACGAAAGAGAGTCGTGGCCACAAAGGGAAAGGTGACAGAAAGGCGAGTTGAAGAATAACATATCGAGGAATTGTAAGTATTAGTAACAAAAGAGGGTGAGGAAAAGAAGATTCGTGAGGCTGCCGAATATCACACAGAATTGAAAGCATGATAGAGTGCCCCAATACCGTCAAGCTGTAGTGATGCCAAATCGATCCCTTAATCTGAGAATTAATACCGCAATGGTGAAGATGTAAAGAACGAATTATTTTGAGTTTGTTGAGGGAGCGTGGTTGGCTGACTACCCTAGAGGCGGTAATATATGATTCTTTGAAGTTGATTGCAAAACCAATCGCACTGTAAACGAGTGTATTGATTTGAGAGTTTAGGTGTAGGCCTTACTCTCCAAGACGAAGTAGACCACTACAGCCACGACGCCGCCAGTGTACAAGACACACTCGGAAATGAGTATGCATTTGATGATCCGCTGCTGGCGAGAGTTTAGTCGGTCCACCTCACCTCGAGTAGCCCATTTCAGGCCTTCGCTGAAGGCCCCAGTCAAAACGAGGACGCCGACGAAGGGTAGGATAGACAATACTGCTAGAACATAGAAGCATGATCGACGGATATCATCGGCATGATCGGAAACGTAATCATCTGGCGCAATTAAAGCCGGCCGTAATCTGTACTGGTACATATCTTGAACTGGTACGCCGAAATGGGCTTTTTGGCCATACCAAAGACTTTCGGCGGCCGATTTTGTGGTAAAAGAGGACGAGTTATCCTTGGTGCCCAGCGAGTTAACCTTCTGATGTTTACGTTCAACAGATGTGGCACTCTCGTGACAACCCATTGAAAATGGGGCTGGCGTGTCTATTAAAATCAGTAAATTATGGTTACGTTTAGAGGAATGAACAAGAATTTGAGTTTACCTGTCAAGTCTGAATTTTGTGCCTGCCATTTTGGCGACGAGAAGTTCGCAGAGAGATCAGGGCCAGTGAGGAAAGCTTTAGTAGGTGGTTTAGGAGGACTATGTGTCCTTTTGATAGATCGAACACTCTGGTTTCGCTTAATTCTGGCTGCCGTTGGCTCGTCCTCGTTGATCTCGCCGCTGTATCTTTTCGATCTATCTCTCCTCCGGGCTTGATCAAGAGGCAACAGCTCAAAATTAAATTTCGACCGGACTGAATTTGCTGATGGCTGATCGTAGTATGAAGAAGCAGCCGCGAATTCCCGGTTATCAATTCCTTCGATCTGATTTTTTCGATCTGCTGCGTAAATACTAAACCTTGTATCTTGACCAAGACCAACCGTTTGACAATGTTTACTCTGCTGAGGGAAATTGTTGGATAGAATTGCGTCCGCATCAAACTCAGCAGAGCGGTTAAATTCAGTATCCGTATTGTGTAGATGGTTTTCTTCAGCGACATCTGACACCGGAGATGGTAGGGATCCACGTGTATCATATATGCGAGTGCCGCAGTTTGCCTTCGTGCTGGCTGCTGCCGGCTCATACTCTGAAATCGAGTCGCGAAACTCGTACCGTGGAGGAGCATTCTGATCAAAGTTGAAAACAAGCCGGCCAGAAGTCTTGTTTTGTCTGTTGTTAAACTCTCGATACGGATTCTTATTCTTGCGTAGAATTTGGGGTCGGAATTGGCCAGCTTCCTCCTGTGTTGTACTTGCCCAAGGAAGACTGGAGAGCTCTAGGCGGGTACCATGTCGGCGCGAGAACACGCTTGCGAATTTCGGTTGATTCATTCGCCGACTAAAAGACATTTTGTCTTTATCGTCACCCTCCGGATTCTGGAGAATTCTTTCCTGCGATCCAAATCTATCTAGTATGTCTTCGTAGCCGTCGTCAGAATAGTCGGCGATGCTGCTCCCAGCTTTCTTGAAACCGCCAGTCAAAGGTCCTTCAGCAAGGGGAACAGTACTGATGCCGAAGCCAACATCACTTGTTGCCTCCGTTATCCAATCACCGTCTTCGGAACATATGTCGCGGTGATCGTGTTTGGCATCATTATACGCACCATTGCCCTCATGATTATCCTTGCTAATCTTGGATTCTCTTCCGATAACCACCTTAATGTGTCGAACACGTTTTCCTCCAGTACTAGGTGTCAGAAGGCCAGATTGACTAAAAGTATCGTCCTGGGGTTGTTCCTGTTGAACTGGGAAGTGCTCGGAATTTTCTGCACTATACATTGGTTTGGGAGAACTGCTAAGGCGCCTTAGCTCTTGACTTATGTCCCGCTGCATCTGAGGCTTAAGATACGTTTTGCAGCACCCGTCGTATCGATGTGCCGATAGATTGTCATTGGGAGCCTTCTTCCCGGGTTCCATAAAGTCATCATTGATTCTTAGAGCATTGTAGTGCTGCTGGCGTGTTATTTCTGTATCATGCAGTGTTCGAGCGATGTTAAGAGGGAGTGGGAACAGGGCGCGTCCCACTTCGTCTAATTCGTGAGCCTGCGCTTCAGCGTCAAGAAGATGCTGCGAGTCAGTAATGCTTGAGTCCAGTCCCGGAGAATCGTGCTCGCCCTGGTGTGCATATGCACTACGTTGCGTGTTCATAGGTGGAGGCTCGGGAAGGGATGCTTGAGGAGGCTGAGAGCGAGGCAGTTCGGTCTTCCAGCAATACTAAGACATTGTAAGCTATAATTTAGGAGTACTTCTTTTGCACAGAGCCATACCTCTCGAGAGTTGTTATACTCGGCCCTAAGACTAGATGTACTGCCGTCATACTGAGCAACGATTCTCTTAATGGTGCTGCTAGTAGTATCCTGAGGCGGGCCACTTGAGGTTGGTAGCTCATTGTCAATCTGTTTTCTAAGACTGGGGCCGGCGTTATCACCGCGGTCCGCCTTAGGTGCCAAATCTTCTTCCGGAGTATCGATTGAACCCAGGGTAGTACGGCGTGACTTTTTCATAAAGAACCGCATAGCCGAAGCGGAAGTCCGGGCCTGAAGTTCATCTTGTGACCTTACAAGACGTGGGACAGCGACAGATGATACTACAGAATCTGTTGAACTTGACTGGTGCTGATCCAACGCCTTATGAGTAGTTTGTTTCGACCCAAGGCGAGAAGTAATGTTTAGGTAGGCGTCACTCAGTTTGCTGAAACGTTGACCGCGAGGAGTGATGCTTCGCGCCTGTTTCGTTGGTGGCAATTTGTATTCCGATTCCAGCTCTGGCGGAGGAAGTGAGATGGGAGAGAATCTCCTAATGGAGAAAAAGCGGTCACCACCCCCACTGACCTCCCCTTCGGACATTGTTGAGAAGATCCCTAACTCGAAACTAAGAGAGTCAGTCGTGACGGCAAAAATGGGAAGTGCGTATGGGAACTCGTGGATGCTACTGCCGATGAGATGCAAGGCGAACTGAGGTGAGACGAAGCCTACCTGATGGGTTTAAGAAAACAACGAGGAAGCTGGAGTACAGCACTACTTCTGAGAAGATCGACACAGCAACCTGAGGCTGATGCTGGAATATGGAAAGTTCTTTCAAGTCCCTGAATTTCGTGGAAAGCATGCCACTAAGATGGAGAAGAGAGACCAGATCCTACGCCAGTGTGTTAGATGATGGTTGAAAGCGGCAAGAGGTCGACTGCAAGGGAAGATATTGAGGAGATAATCGATAGATCAGCTAGCATGGATGGGTATAGAAGTGCGAGCGAAATGATTAGATGAAGGAGATGGTACTGGTGGATATACAGTTTATAGCCGGTCCTGGGCTTGCCTTCGAAGAGAGAAGAAGGCCTGATGATGGTGGCACAGTCGCCGAATCAGTGTATAGGTGCTTCAGACCTTGTTTCAAGGCTCGTGGAAATCAGAGACTCAGCAGAATGGGTAGAAGGAGGTGCTGGAAGGAGGTACATGATCCGCTACTAGCAGAAGGTGCATCTGGCTAGACTGGGGGAAGGTGCCACTGTCACAAGTTTGCCTGCGCAGGTTCTGGAAAGCGTTTTGCCTTACCTTAAGTGAGATCGAACTTCTCCCCGAGACCCTGGGTCGGTATATTCAGTATATCCGGATGCCAACTTGAATCTTGTAGGTGAAGGAGTGATTCGACTGGACATGGAGATGCAGACAGCCGTGTAAGATGACCATGGGGCGAGATGTTATATCAAGATATAGATATGGTGAAGAGGATGCGGGGTTGAGTAGTAAACAAGAGAAAGAGATGGTGGTTTTGGCTAAGTCCTAGACTCAATAACAATAATAACAACAACACAGATGACGCCATGCCACACGGCGGGCACTGAGAGATACCCATCTTGTACCAGTACGTGTTTGCTCGACATTGAGATGTGGAACAGAGACAATGGAACAGAGACAATGGAACATTGATACATTCACTGATCCCACTACTGAGTCACATTAGCAGACACGCCATACCTGGATGTAGGTAAGTATTGATGGTATTCAGCATTGATCTAGGTCCCAAAGAGACCTTACCTACTCATTGTGAACCAAGCATGCATCATTGTAGCCTTCAATTCACGCATGCTCTCTCCTCTCCTCTCTGTCACGGTCTACAACTCAGGACAATCATGGTGATAGAGTGACAAGATCCCAAAGAGCTACCCGTCTCAAATTTGCAATATGATACTCATCTTGTTCCTTCAGGCCCCATTTGCAGCATAGTATAAGTAACTGTTGAAATTCCCTCTTCTCCAGTACAGATTTGATATTCTGTCAAAGGTATTCAACTGTGTCAACCAGTTTGGCAGTTACCTTATGTTGCATGCTTCAATATTGCCTACAGCTCACAACATACAACCCTGGCCATCGACCCCTTCACATTGTACGTCTTGCCCAAATCATATGTTCATCTTTTCCAGGTACCTGGGATTCACACGGCAGTAGTATGCTAGTAATTGTTTCATGAATTCCTTTATATAACTTCTAAAGGACGTGGCATGTGCTTTATGCAGGGCTGTTTAACTTTGCCTCGATGACTCAGGCAGCGTTATTCACTTTCTTCTAGAGATTAGAAGCTTGTAATGAAGCGGTCTGTAATACTCCGAATCTATCTTCGAGATACTGGACAATTCCTATGTGATAATATTTAGCATGTGATCATCTGAACTCTAAGAACACAAGTCACCTAGCTGCTCGAATGCTTCTCTATTGATGTAGCCTGTCTGTATATACGCATTTATACAGCTTGGGGATATAATGAGCATGTCTAGGTAGGCACCTACATATAGGTATTGTAGGGGGCAAGGTACAGAAGCAAGTTGATAGGTATACCATTTGAAGACAAGAAGAACCCTAAATGAGGCGTCTTACCCAGTAGGTACCTATGTACTTATGTACATATGTAGATTCCCACCCGGAACCTGCCCCTCAATCACGACTCGGGCTCCACAGCCACAAGCAGGGCTTGTACCAAAGTATTGGAGGGGTACTAGGTAGGTACCTAGGTATCATCGGGGAAAGCTTAAGCATCCGTAAGTTCGTCATCTCCAGTCCCTTTGTCCTTGGCGTGTTATGACACCAACTGCATGGCACTATTCCGGGCATCTTCTCATTGCCCGCCAAGGGTTTCCTTACTTGCTTGTCGAAAGAGGATGACTTCATACCTGTAGATTAATAGAACGATATATTTCACTATACTGTAACTTATTTGATATGCTTTTTCAGGCTTAAGCGTGCGTTTGGCCACGAATATACCCGCCATGGCTGCAAAGAGCCGACTTGAATTGCTTCCCCACGAGATCTTGCTGCATATCATCCAGTGTAAGCCTGTATATCTACCCGGCCTTCCCTTAATATATAACATTGCTGTTTCATAGAGATCCGATCGCGTACTAACTAAGCCTCGCCGATAAGTTCTGCTAGTTCCCGACGTCGTCAACCTCCAGTCGGTTTCCAAACAGCTCCTCCGGATCTGCCGAGACAATCCCCATTGGCGTGGACGATGCCTTGAGAATTCCGTCTTCCTCGAACGAGTGTCGTTATTCAGGCGAGGCTCTGACTGGTTCGATGAGGAAGGAATACCGTTGAGCAGAGCGGCACCAACAGACCATCATCCTCTACAGTACCATAACGCGATAGAGGCGATAGGCCTGCTGTCTAGTAGAAAGAGGGAAAGAGAATACTCGCGCATTGCTGCTAATTGGGACCCTACGTTCCCCGGAGAGAAGACTAGCTGGTATCACGAATTCATACAACGGAATGCGCCGGTGGTTACCAATTGGTTCGAGCGACCTCCGGCCCTCGACGGCCCTGCAGAGGAGGCTGTTGATGTTCGCGGCGCTGCACTGTACGAACCTTACAAGACGGAAAACCAGCTCTTTGCTGTCTCGCCACTCGATGACGGGTCTATATGTATATGGGACGTAAAGGGTTCCAAGGTCAAGAAGGGATCTATTCTGTCAAGGAGTAGGCCGGGTGTTCTATGGCATACGCAGGGCACATCATCTGGAAACGTATCAAACCAGTCTGTCGACAGAGGGATCATTGAATGTGTGAGCGTCGACAGCTCGAGACGCGCTGCATTTTTCGCCTTAGGAAACAGTAAGTGACCTCTCCCCGAGCGCGAGACGACATGCTCACTGTTTGTGAGACCTTGTTGAGGTAGACCTTCAGACCCAGCGTGTTATTGCCACGACCAACTTCGAACGGGTGGTAATGACAATGTCTGCCGCGAATCCCACGGTACCGCTTACAGTAGGCACTTTCAATGGGCTGTACTTGCATGATTATCGCGAAAAGAATGTACTGCGCAATCAGCAAGAGGAGGTGGTTGATCCATTTCCAACACAGAGCCCCAATCTCTCCAGTATACTCGGAGACTGGCAGCCTCTTCCACTTTATGCCGCTCTTGCTCAGCCCGGTCCGCAATACATTCACCATATGGACCGACCTGGACAGCGGGATGAATTATCTGATGACATCTTCGTAGCGGGTCGATTTACCAGCATATTACATTATGACCGGCGCATGTTCCCTTCCATTATGGGTTCACTTCATTCAGGCGGTCGATTATGCAGTCTAACATCGCTACCATACCCATTCTCTAGTGTTGACAGCGACCTCCGTCGACGTCTGGAGCTAACAGAAGAACAAGTCACCAAGTCTAAGAATACAACCGGCGGCAGAACACTGATAGCATGCGGCGAGTACAACACCAAGGGTTCACTTGAGATCTATGGGTTGACGTCCACATTGGAAGAGGGGGGCGAGATGTATATTTCTTACGACTCCACGATGAAAAATCGGCAAACTGCCTCTTCTTCAAAGCTTTTATCAGTCATTAACCATGGTAACCGAATTGTATTCGCTGATGGTCAAGGATATCTCAAGTGGATGGAAAGAGATGGCTTCACAGAGGTGCGGCGTCACAAGATCGGCAAGGTGGAGAAGGTCACTCACCGCTCTCTGTTTGGGGCGATGCCGGGGTCGGATGACATTGCCCGTAAACTCCTATCAGCACGGACAGCCGCGGGCAACGGCATTTGCAATGACGACGATATCTTAATTTGGACTGGGGAGACGCTGGGGCTGATTAGCTTCTCGTCCGGATCCGGTTCATCCCCTGAGGACTTCGTCGAAAACACCCGAACTCCGGAAGAGATGGCTGCCGAAGAGGAGGAACAGGTCTATGCGGAACGGATGAGGCTTGCATTGGAACGACAGGCGGACGAGGTACGCTTTGTTCAGAACCTCGGGATGCCTCGCAATTAAGCCGAGAAGAGAGTAATCTGCCCAGAATGGTATCTGGGTCATCATGGTATATATATAAGGGCGTCTTAACTACGGCTCTGGCATGCATACCCCAGTACCTACAACACTAGGCTTCAGACTAGAAAGAGACTAGAAGATGGGGTTGGCACACGCATTATGTTTTTCCGGCGAACATGATTATGCTACATTGATAGGATGAAGGCATTCGAATGCGATAAAGGTATATACACTACAAACAAGGATATATGAAGAGAAGAGAGTGGGTTAACACACCACTATTTGGTTACGCCTTTCCGCTTCTGACCTCCGAAAATGAAGCGTGTCTACCATGCATCAGTCACGGTATTACTACGATATGCGCTGTATTGGCTGCGTGTCAGTGTATGCCCCGACTCCTCACCTTGGTCACCGGTACAGTAGTAGTGTATGTAATAGGCGTATTTGGTGAAAGGCCGTCCAGAGCCGTCCTTTAAGCTATTACGGATTCCCGCTTGGCATCTGGGGTAAGTCAGTAGCGTACCGCGATCGAAGGAGAGGCTACACCTGGTGCTGTAGGTGTACATTATGTAATAGAATATCGCAGATAGCAGAGCATAACAATACTCATTGCTGTGCATTTTGGTTGAAATCGATGCTGGTGAGCTTGCATGTGAACGCAAGCGCATTTCGGCTACGCGGGTTGACACAGTGACACTTGTGTGCGTATGGTATTACTTATGATAAGTGCACACTGTATGGGATGAACCAGCCTCAGCAGACTGTTGGACGAAAAGTGTCACCAATCACCGAAGATGAGGCGACCAATGAGCAGTCGTCGCGTCTCCAGGCAAACCCCGGTCTCACGAACCAAAGACGCCAAAATCGACATCTCATGGGCAGACCACGGGCCACGGCAAGCTTGAGGCTAATTATGCATTCCCTTTACAGTACTTACACTTACGCGACAGGCTACTGAGCAGGTATGGTCAGATATGGTCTAGTCCGTCTCGTGTATCTTCAGCCTGCTCTCCTGGGCCATTGGCAGCTTCTTATTATATTATCGAGATATCCTGGGATCCTCCTAGGAGACTAGTGTAGTGTGTCTTCGGCGGCGGACTTGACGACGGCCAGTCTTGAATGTGGTAGGGCAGGAGAGCCATGGCTATTTTCTATGCGCGAGGATTCGCCTTCTGCAGAAGACTCCATCGGGATAGCAACAGAAGACGAGGCGAGGCGGTGTCGTTATACGACGCAATCATCAACCAATGCGCACCAAAGTGCTCATTTTATTCCCTGCCTTCAGTGCCTATAGACCTGGTATGTGGAAGGAAATGCCGAGCGCAAATGCAGGTACGGCGCGTCACAAGCCGTAAGCACACAGATGATATATACTGTACATTAGGTATGTAGGTAAGGAACTGCGTACACAACGCACTCGGAACAATGACGGGACGAGAAAAAACCTGGTGTTACGCCACAGGTGAGCGATCTCTGTCTGTCTGTCTGTCTGTCTGTCAATAGTCGTCTTGTAGACGGACACAAGACCGCCAACACAGAGGCACACACACAGACACACAGACACTCAGACACTCAGATAGATAGACAGCATTGTTGAAGGTGTTGCTTGTTGTCCTTCGGTAATTCCAAAGTCAAGGAAAGGTAATGAATGCCTCATCGTCCTGTTGGCACACACAGCGGCGTATCAATCTCCTCCCGCCCCTCCATACACCTGCATACCTACCTATATTGCATTCCTCATGGTGTGGTGCATGGAACCACGATGTCGTACATCAAGTGATTGAAGCAGTATACACGTGAGTATACACATGAGTAGGGAGAAAGCATAAGATGCCTGGAAATATCCATTCATTCACCGCCCACACGCAGTACACGGGCAATGGATGGTCGAGGACAGTACGTATATACCACCACAACTAAATCCATGTAGGTAGAGGTAGTAACCAGCGTCCACAAACCTATTCGCCACTCTTGACCTGTGCTGTGTTGTGCTGCTGATGCTGGAGCATGAGAATTTAGTCTTACCTTAGGTGCTTGACTTACCTAGTGCCTTCAACAGCGTTACAGCGTCCTACTCAAATAGTACTGTCGAGCTGTAGGTGGTCGATCAAATGGTCGATCCTCGTTCTAGACAGGGCCCAAGACTAAAAACCGTCCAGACTGACTGACTGACTAGTCTAACTGACTGACAGATAGAGACACCCGCCACGCCGAGATCGTCGTGTTTTCCACTGTCGTTTCTCTCTCTCTCTCTTTTATTTTTTTTTTTATTTTTTCTTTCTTTCTTTATTTCTTTCTTCTTTCCGTTGTGTCTCGTCTCCATCTGAGTCTACTTTTTTCCTTCTCATTTTTATTTTTCCCTATCCTTCACCGCCGCATGTAGCTTACCATCTATCTATCATATTCATTATACCTAAACCATATATAACAGACTGTGATAGTGTAGCAGGTCCCTGTTTCGATATTTCTCCACCTGTATGCGTTGGCTCCTCCTCAGGCCTCTCCGCTTACCGCCTCCCACTCGCCGCTGGTCAATCCTGACTTCCAGGCTTAAACTAGTGTCGTCCAAAACGGCCCCCGTCACAGGCTCACCAGCCAGCCAGCAGCCAGCCAGCCAGGTCGTCAGCCAGGAAGCCCTGGACTACAACTGCATGCATCCTGCCTGTCGGTTGTGTCTTGACACTTTTTGCATTCCTGTCGTTCCACGCATATAATCAATCCGTCTTTCACTCTCTCTCTCCTTCACCTTCTGGCTATTATAGCACGCGAGCATCTGGAAGTGAGGCTAACGGTAATCTTATTTTATCTTATCTTATTTCATTTTATTTGATTTTATTTATTGCATTGCATTGCACTACTACCGCATTTCGCCACAGCTAACAGTGTTACGTGGTGCAAGTTCAATTTTATTTTTAATTCCTACAGCGCACCCGTTCTCATAGTCGCTTCGTCGCAACTACAACAACAAGAACCTTGAATTCTAGTTGAACGCGCCGGCACTATCTGAAACTAACCATCGTGACGGCGTCAAAGTGTCACCACTTTATCATTACGCTGCCTTTCGAGCATAGGCCCTGAGACTGGCTTGGATCCTACCACATCGTTGTCTCGTGTTATGCGTCGTGGGAAATCCGACCTGGAGCATGTACATGTATGATGGCGGGTTGGGATGCGGGTGGTACAGAGATGCTACGCTCTCTGAGCGACTCGGCTATCCCCCCGCCACGAGTCTATGCCAATTTTCTGCCTCACGAACCGAGAAAAAGACAGTTCAACCATCTGCACCACCTGGATATCACCAACAACAACTACCAGATCATTCCCGAATATTGGAAGCGGCCTCGACTTGACACTCACTACGATGAGTGCTCTATGGGTCGCTGTGACTACCAGCCAGTGCCTGCGTTTTTCATCATCAAGGAGGCCCCGTCAGCGAGGGCGAGGCTCGAGAGCCATCAACTTGCGCACATGGACTCAGCACACCAGTACAACTACGATAGCGTGTCAACACAAATAAACAATCCATGTCTTGATCTTCGGGTGCGGAACGACAAGGGACCTGTGTCTATGGTTCGCCCGCTTAACACAACGGACAATGCTCATCATGATGCAGCTGCGGGTCTCGTCGAAGCAGACATGGCAGACTACCGACGACGAAGGAAGCTCTCTCAACACGAAAGGATCCTGAAAAGCATTATCAGTCCCAAAGCACTAAGCGCCGAATTTGAAATTGACGACCAGGCACTTCAAGGCATATTTTACGCTGCCAATGAGATCTTCTTTCGGGGAAGTCTCAAGGGCCGAGTGTCCTGGACATGGGCGGATCTTCCAGCCAATATCATCGGCACTACGGCATGGAGGGATGCGCCAGATGGCCACGGTTACGAGACCCTGATCTTCCTGTCGAGGGAGATTCTCAAGAACAAGAAATACAACAGACGCCTACTCATATCCACCTTCATCCACGAACTCATTCACAGCTATCTCTTCGTCTACTGCGGATATCACCCTGATGATTGCGGCGGTCACACGAGCGGGTTCAAACGCATCGCCAAACTCATCAACAACTGGGTCGGCGAGGAGAATCTCCTGCAGCTCCACAAGATGGAGGCCGAGCTGAGCGACTTCGAAACAAGCGCGGCAGACGCGCTACCGCGCGATCACGTCTCCGGCGGGTGCCAGGTGCAGTGGCTCTGCGACGGCACGCTCGGATACATCATTTTACGTTCACGGGACCGGGGCCGGGGCCCCGCGCTAGGAGGATAAAAGGGGGCACGGTTCATATACGGTTTATTGCGTCCCGTCTTCATTATTTACTTTCAGGGACTCGAGGGACGCATCCCCCCAACGTTATAAAGACAATTGCATAGCAGATTTTATTTAATCTCTTTTGTTTCTCATGGTGTTTTTTTTTTCGTCTTATTTGTTCGCATGGCGATGGCGTTTACACTATACCACAGCATATACTCTTCTTGTGTTCTTAAATAGATTTTGTCGCAATCATAGCCATCTCATCTAGATACCATTTGAATACAAACGCAATAGGTTTGCCGTTATCCAAATACAATTACTAATACCCATGGCACACTAAGTATTATGACAACTATGTATATGCTCATCCGCAAAAGGTCTCTTCAATGCGAGCGGTCTTCTCTACCTTAACCCTCTCGCACATACGAATTTCCAGGATAGATTATTTCAACCTGAGGAACACTTGCATTATGGCATCTCAGACGTCCCTAACACCCAATGCCTAAAGATACGTACACAACCACAGCTCTACCAATGACAGCGCGGATATCTCCAACCGTAAGTCGCAAAAAGGCAGACGCATATCTTATTTCCGACAACACGCATCCGACCCACACAGCTGCAACACATCGAGCATACAGCCAAGGCTCTTGGGTCGCAGCGTCTAGTAAACACATATCCGCGGGGGACCTATCAAAGGCGCTTTCTCAACTTCGGAATTCGCTGGCGTTAGCTGTTGCCTGATAATACTAGTTGTTTCAATGTCGGAACTTCGGTAAATACTGCGTAGTCAATGACTGTTCGCGCGACGGCGTGTATGAGCAGAGTGGAGATTCATGACTTGACGGGAATGTGTACGGGCCGTTGGTATTGATTCTCGCGCTGTGGGCTCTGAGATCTGGTAGTGCCCTCTAGATGTAATGGTTAGGATAGACGTATCATCTGGGCTGTATTCGTGTCTACGGTGTGGAAGGACTGGAGTAAAATGTAAAAGTGTATGGTGCGTGACGTTCTTGTACGAAGCTTATCTCTGGGTAATATTGTCCTCCGTGCAGATATCTCTCTGTTCGGACGAATCCATAGGGCGATGTACTGTTTCTGGTATTGACTATTATCACAAGGCCTTCTATTTTATATCTGTAAGATATACTATAGCGTCTTGTATGCGTTAGCACCGGCTCTCCTACTGTACTATACCTCCATCCAGACTCATCCGTAGACAGAGCATTCCGGGAGAAAACGAGATGGTCGCCAAAACTGATTAGGCGCAGAGACGTCGGTTTTCCTTCCACTACGGGGTCATGGTATATTCTAGCTCGCTGAATGACAGAGTCAAACAGCGTGGTACTTCCGTGTTCTTGACTGGACTACTGGTGTGTTGCGGCTGTGCGTAAACGAAGTTATTTACAGATTTCCATCAAATTTAGGTTCGCCGCGGTACCGGCCCCAGCTCAGTATTCGTTTTCGCTCTACCTTGTGGTACAGAAGATGCTTGCCAGGAAATAATGGAAGACCCGGTATTTTCTCATATTCGTATGACATACTACCTACGATGAATCGCGGCCGCGAGATGATGGCTTGTTATCTCTGTACTTTCCATGAAAAAGAATTCTTCATTAATAGCATCTAGATGATAACCGCCATTACCAGGTCGTGCCCAGAGTAACGAGATTGAGCTTGTAGTCGAATAACAGCCCTGGTTGCTCTTATGGTTTCCTATCAACTGAGGAGGCTCGAACACAAGTGTTGTCATCCGGGTGAGCAGTTAAAGTATCTTAGTATGTAGTTGAATTACACCTACTCGGACTCCATGTGACGTTGAGGAATCTGCGCGCTCATCTGGAGGCTTAGTTGACTGTATGTAACCGTTATGGTATTCTGCAACAGCAGGTCCTTGTACGTGGGAGGCAGATGAGATGCTGGCCATGTACTAGGACAACAGAATATGCTCACGAATAATTCGGTCGCCTCGATTTGTCATTACAGTCTCCGAGCTCAGCGTTGACTTCTCAAAGGAGTCAGACCCAATTCTTGAGGATCTTTGGAAGACCAGGTATGACTCTATGGCCAAATTTCTTATGCTTAATGATGCAAAGAAGCGCTAGCCTATATTTACCCTTTTCTTCCCCTTTTATGAGCTATAAGGCTTCACTTGCTGATGGTTAGAATCACCTTTGGCATCGATCCTTCGCTGTCAATTATTTCCGCTTGAAGTGATATAAAGAGCACGGATGTCAATTTGAGCTGTTTTATACTCATTATTCACAAGATAGAAGCCAGACAATTGCTACTTTAAGGAGAAGTAGAGTAGAAGAGGAAATGTTAAGTTATTGAAAATGTAAGGAGTTGAGGTTGGCCATCATAATTCGTTAGTAGTGGGTGAGTGCTGAGTATGGGTAATCGAGCAAATACTCATCACTTACGCCAATTTCAAGTTTCTTGTCACTGACAAGATGATTTCTTTTAGCTTTATCTCACCTCCACCTGAGATCAGCTAAATTTTGAACCGATTTAACCTATAGACACTATCGAATTGAGAGCTATTAAAAACCAAGTACGTTTTAGCTTAAATTTGACCTTATTACATCCGCAATGGCGACCGCACCAGCAGGTTAGTTCTTTCCTCTTTCGATATCTAGTAGTCTGAAAGAGTTTCATGTCTCGTTTAGGATGGGGGAGAAAATAGCATAGCCCTGCGACGGTCGAGAAAGCTGGCTTTTGAACAGCAAGTCGAACTTAGCCTATCTCTGTTACTGCGAGTTTGTGGCTGAGTTGAGCAATATTTCATATTACCAACAAGGAAGCCTCTGAGAGTGTATCAAACCTTTTATTTATAGGACGGGAGAGCTGTCGAGCAACAATCTCACAGACCTCTGTATATATTACAGAGAATCTCACACTACATGTAATTTCACACGACTAAGTACTCACTCTTATACAGCTACATACTGTCGACTATTGAGAGAGGAACTTGCCGTTACACTAATGGTAGTACTTCAACAATGGATGATAGAATTAAGCTTCTATGTATCCGTCATACCAAGCGGGTAATGAATGAAAAGCCTACTTCCTTGAATTCTATCTTTGATTTGTAGTGAGAGTTTTGCAGTATCGGCTAGACTTAGTGAGGATTCAAATCTTTGACTGCCATCACCATTCCAGAAGACCTAAGGACGAAGAATAGCTGAAGGAGGCATTTCATAAGATCGAGGTACTACCTTATCTAATACGCATCGACGTGAAACGTGTCGCTTATCTTACATCGCCACGCCTCGAAGATATATTGCATGATGGGATGACTAAATTGGGCGGGTAGAGTCTCGGACCTGAAGGCTGCATATGAGAGTGTTACGCTGACTTTGATTTGGTAGTATTAGGTAGTAAGATTCAAATGAGGTTGTGTAACTATCAGGTCTTTATATATAGAACATGAATAGGGCCAACTTAAGAGGTCTATAACTATGAGATCAGCTTACAGTGCTTTACCTCCTAGCTTACCTAAGCCAATTATGATAACCCTTATGCTGAGAGTGAGATGTTAAGAACCCTTAATGTCAATTAAATTACCGCAGTAACCAAATGATTCACATTTGTGTAAGTATGTAAGGGCGGTGGCCAAGTAGGCACCCTGGTATCGCCTGCATGACCAGCTAAGTGATGCATTACATAGTGTCTACATCGTAGACTAGCCTAGGTGCATTAGCATATGGACGGGCAACTTCGCTATTCCTATGTTTCGGAACGCGAGTTACTACGCTGTTCATTAGCTATACCAATCACTACATACTTACACATGCAGCTCAGGCGGTCGCAACCTAAACTCAACTCAGAGCCAATTGTAGGGTAGTATATCCATTACTGTGAACCAGGCGACCGAGGGGACCATCATGTTGTCATTCGACGAGCCGGGTCGATACCGAGCCTTGCCCGTATAAATCCCGGGCGGGCAGATCCGAACTACGCCCCCGCTCCCGGCGCATCCGACACAGAAGAAGCCATCACCCGAGACACTGTCTTACCTAGTAGTGACGAGATAACGACATTGAGTATCAGGATTAACGCTAGGTGCTGGTAATAAACTTGACCCTCCAGATTGGAATACGCAATAAGTTGGCTGTCCCTGAAATCTTTGTTTCGCTTCATCGGGGTCGTCTTGATGTAAGGGGCCGGGGATGTGCGAGTTTCTTATCTAAACCGCTTTGACAAATATAGGTCAGGTCATTAACGAGTTGGTACTACCCACCCCAAACATTGCTGTTGGTAGCATGGGGAGTTTCTGACGGCATATTCATGGCACAGCCACAGCCACGAAATTCATCGACTTGCCTAGATAGGTATGCGTGAGCCAACAAATCCCGTTCGCGGACGGCCTCCCTATTCTTACTGCTACCCAAGCATCAGCGCCTGACAGTTGTAGCACGTTTTTCGGTGTGGTATCCAGTGATATGTGTTGGTCTAGAGCACATAATCCTCACGAGGAAGATATGCCCTTTGACTATCAGGAAATTAATACGTTAAGTTATTTGTTTTGCGAGATCTATTTGACCCCGCTTGCGTCAACGTCCTAGTGAATCCGGCATCGTGCGATTCAACCTTCTCTCTACAAACGCGACGCCTATAATGTATTCCCGCACTATAGCTGAGACACCCTGCACTTATAGATCTATTTTTCGTGACAGCGGACTGGAAGCGCTGTACCCTGCGTTCAAGGTTTGGATCTTACGTTATCGAAAGCGAACTAAAGCCGATGGGTAGTTTTCGTTGTGACGTAGACGAACATCGACGCAAATGAACCTGATAGGTCGAAGGGTGTTGATAAGGTCAAAGCGTGACCTATTCCCGAGCCCAAAAACAGAACAAAGCCAATCGTGGTCCGCATGTCAATTTGACCAACAGCGTGCAGGCTTTATACATAGTATGTAGATAGTAGCAAATAGAGTCGAGCTCGTTGTATCAGCTTGATCTCCTGATGAGCTGATGCAACACGCCATGACGCTGGGAGAAGTAGAATAGGGTACCGTGTGCACTATGACGATGCTTCTGGCCCTTACTGGCACAATCGGACCCTCGTAGAAAACATCTTGGTACCGCACAGGAGGATAGAAGATTCGACAATAGAGGGGTTCTCGGGAATAATTATACGCAAAAATGACGTAGAAATACTAGGAAGCGAATCCGCGAGTGTCAAACTAGTCACCGTAATACACAACTGTACACAGTAATCCATTCCTTCTGCTGTTTAGTCGCGGGTGTGTCCCTGTAAATGGCCTTTAACTTAACTTGATTCGATGGAAGATCAACCTAAGTCACATGTGCTCCGTAGGGAGAGATGCAAAGCTTAGCGCCGGCAAACATTGCCCTGTAGTTGGCTAGAAGGGAGCGAGTGTGTTCAGGTTGTCGACTAAATAACTTAATCAATGACTAAATAAAGTGATGGCATACTAGCAGTAGTAAAGTCCAAATAAGCTCAGCGATGGAGCTTACTATCGCCGCGATAAGAGAACATCATGACTCTTGTTTTTATTTTTATTTTATTTTATTTTTTTAATTTTTTCCAGTTCGAGTGTTTTTGTTCTTTGTCTGTTGTTGGTTGCAGAATAAGAAAACAGAAAAGCCTAGATCCTGCGAACTCCTGTTAGTGGCTGATGGATGGAAATTGGCATGCATACGTCAGCTCCAGTGTCTCGACATGAAAGCTGAGCGTTTTTCGCTTCAGCGCGCTGCAGAGCTGAATTCGGAAGCGCACCTACAACGTCCGCCCTCCCCTACACGTGTCGTGTAGATAATGCCGTATCCAGGGGCTAGGTCTACTTACTTCGTATACCTGGTCCTGATATCGTTCCTATGGTTCCAACATTGAAGGCTAGGACTATTGGACTGTAGTGAAGTGCCAGCATACTACCTATGTACAGAGCTATGTAGGTAGGTAGAAGGATTCTGGCTGCGACGTGTTCCAAGACGTACCTGGTAAGCACCGATATGCTTTCTTACTTATGTGTTGGTGATCAATCACGCTATAGCCGCCAGCCTCAATACCCCACGGCGGCACATGATACCGTGATGTAAGTAAGAAAAGGGCTGGCAAGCGAGAGTTAATCTCCGAGACCACAGCATAGGGGGTAAGGGATTTCTGATGCTACTGCTTCACGTTCGTTTGCTTGTCCTCATCCTTCATCCATGAAGCGGCGTCCTTAGAATACCCAGTCGAATTCCAAGATATTTCAAGACTTCACCAGCCGTACTAGGTACCGGTATATCAACTTGGCAAAAGGAGGTTACACTACCTAGGTAGGTAGTTTCAGGACAGCAAGTCGAACAATGCTAGCCCTCGGCGGCATTAATTGTTACACTTGATGAGAGTGTACTTGTAGGGCTTACTGACTTAAGTAGGTAGCCCTTCCTATCTTACCCTCTTAGTATTAGCGCTGGCATCTCGGATCCTCCGGCTTACGCGAAACTACTTAGCCAATGAATTGTTTCATTTGGGGTATTCCTGTGATTCCTGTGGTTACTTGTAGTGGTTCAGGTCAATAGCCAGCCAACCAAAGTAATGATGACGAGAAACAGGTCGGCCTCGATGCTGTAGAGCACATTCAGACAAATAGTGGTGGGATGGTGTTTTTCAAGAAGGGATCAATACTGGTACACGTGGTAATAGAGGACCGGGCCATGAGTTTGCCAGATGACGACCTCGGACGACTATCTGTGCGCTGATTTACTGTTCCTGTCCCCCCAGATTGTCCCTAGCAATAAGCCGTGGATCTTATCTGGATAATTGTAGCAGCATGACGAACCGATGACTTTAGCGCGACAGGCATTAACCCGATGGAGATATTGAACGGCGGGTCGCGTCACAGGTGCGCCTGTTATCTGTAGTGTACTTACATATACCTATGTAGGTAGGTAGGTACCGTACATGTAAATACCATGTAAGTGTCTGGGCGGAGGATACCTAGGTTGAGGGTTACAGTGCTCGGATCAAGCAGCTCTTTGTTGTGCCGCTTTCATCTATTTTCCAATGCTTTCAACTGTGTCACTCGACAACTCCCATTCTTGCGTGAGAATTAAGGACCCAAATGTAAGGCTGGGGCTTTTGAATTAATTTCCTGAAACGATCCGATGGCGATAGTGTATGAACTATTGTAGGTACTTACGGCAGGCCCTCTCGCCTGCTTCGTACTTACTACGGGTGTCTACTACCAAGGCGAGCTGGGTACTGTAGGTACTTACCTACTTTAGGGACGCAACACGCTACAGCTAGTACTACGCTACAGTGGTATTACTGTAATCGATGTCCATTGGCCATAAGCCTGGCCTTGTTCTGGGTCTGTTCTGGGCCATGTTAGTATTTGAGTATTCTCGTCACGGCAACTTGCAAGCCCGGCGCAAAAGAGTGCAGAAATGGTGGCTTCTGGGGCACTTCTGGGGTGGCTTTGCACCAGCCGAATCAGCACTAGTGTGCGCTAAGAGCCCACCGCCCCCGGTTCTTTTGCTCCACGGACCATACCTAGGTACCTCCAAGCCTCGAACAGACCTCGAACAGACCTCGAGTCCTTTTGAAAAGAAAGAGAATGCGATTGCCGTGCGCTCTGGATGCAGCGTGAAAGAACCTAGCAGTCAGCTATATTTAATACATACATAGGTAGTATCTGATAGTAGTAGCAGGCACTTATACGTAGTAGGTACTAGAAGTCTGTTCCAGCCCATCCTTTCCAGGCCTGGGCTCGCCTGCCGCTAGCGCTAAAGTCCACCCAGCCAGGCAAGTGGCACAGGTGCTGCTCCACTGAAAGGGTACATTGTCCTGCCCACCCACTTGCCTTACTTACTTAGTGCACCTGGCCAACCATTGGCCTTATCTCCTCTCTGCCTCCCGAACTCTCCCTTCCCCTTCATTCCGTTCTACTTGCATTTCACTTTCGAGGTCCATTGCCTTGTTACTCCACCAGCCGTCTGTCAACGTCGCAGCATGCACTGCAAAACTCTGGTCGAGCTGAGCGAAGTCAAGTAATCTCAGCGTCCTAGAGACCGTCCCGAGATAGACATTCGGCACGTTTCCCTTCTCATTCGAGTTGGGAGCCCGACCGCATTCTGACTGTCGTGGTCATCGCCTCTCAATTGAATCTCGATTACCGACGTCGTTGCGGGCTGTCTATTCATATTGCGCAGGATTTCTGGAACGGATCGGCTTTGATAGCGGCGTCTCGTGTGTCTTGACTCTTTTCTTTGTCCGCTCCGAGGGAACGGGTAGACGAGTCTTGCCGTTTGACCAAAACCCAATCGCACTAGTCGAAGTAAACGAACTCAAAAAGCGACTTTCGTCAACTGAAACTCAATTGTCGCACCCATGACGCTACTCTCGAAGATTTGATCCAACTCAATCAATCTGTTAGGCATTTTCTACGGTACAAGGAAAAATGGAAAATCTCAACAGGGCGCTTGTGAACGGCGCACACGTCGTGGCGAGAGTGGTAGAACATCAGATCAGACAGGCCGTGACTTCCTCCGCCACGGATTTAGTGAGTTCGCCGACGTCTGCATTGGCTCCATCTAGTACTGGCATCTCGTCAATAATGTCTACTCCCTCCATATCGTCTATGATGAGTAGCCCTACGGATGCCGCGGTCTCTCCAACTCCTACCGCGGAAAAGAAAGATGGCGGGGGTACGGGATCTAGTTCCCCTTTGTTGTTTTTCGTCGCTCTCGGTTTTGGTGTTGTCTTTACGAATTTATGGTAAGCATCGGCCTACGCATAGTGCTGGGATGCCGGGATTTCTGATTTTTGCATAGGATTATTGTTGGTGTTAAGTACTGCTTTCGATACAATGCTCGCAATCGCGCCATGGCACGACTTGATGAGAATGGCGAACCGATTGATTTGCAAAATATGCCCGCACGGCCCCATCGACGACGTCGCGAGAAAAAGCTGATGACTATGGATGAGGTAAATGAGAAGTTCCCGATGGTCAAGTATAAGACTTGGGTCCTCGAACGCAAGAAGGAAGGATTGCCAACCGCAGGCGGTATTTCAGCACCACCTAGTCGAGCCAATAGTGTGCGAAGCGTAGAGGGAATCATTCCGGAACAACCCTCTGATAATCGAGGGCCTATCGATGCATCGGCTACAAATAATCCGCTCGAGGCCGATCGTACAGCACAAAGCCAGCCAAAACCAATCGTTGGAGATGAAAAGAAAACCGATGACCAAGTTAAGAATATCTCACCTACACCAGAGCCCGACGGAAACAAAATAGCTGCAAATGAAGTGCCCACTGCCACAGCTGCGCAGACGGACAATGATACAAGCAAAGATTCACTCCATCGGACTAGTGAGGACGACGAAGATGACGATGATCACATCAACCCTGCTCTGGACCCGGATATGATGGGATCATCAGGTGATACTTGTGCTATTTGCATCGACACGCTTGAAGACGATGATGACGTGCGTGGCTTGACATGCGGGCACGCGTTTCACGCTGTTTGCTTGGATCCTTGGTTAACAAACAGGAGAGCCTGCTGTCCACTTTGCAAGGCTGACTACTATACCCCCAAGGCTCGCCCTCAGCCTGCCGAGGGTGAAGCACGAGACCCTAATGCATCGGCTGCGGCGGCTGATCCGTCAAGGAATAATGGTCGTATGAATTACCCTCGGACGCCTGTACGATCGTTTGCTTGGAGTCATTTCCGCGATGCTCCCCGTCAAATATTTCCTAGCCGATTCAATGATACACCACGAGATCCTGCCCAGATGGACCGGCGTTATAGGTCTCAACGACCAGGACAGGTCAGCCGTCGGAACACCGCTAACCAAGCGCAGCCCCCAGTTTCACCAAATGAGAATGGCGGTAATTTCATGACCAGATTTCGAAATCGATTCCCACCATTTGCGTTACAGCGTGAAATGAGGAATCGAGAAGCGCAGGCTGCGGAAACGCAATCAAGTCCTAATAGCGGTACCGCTCATCCTTCAACAACACCATCTCAGCTAGAAGCAGGACTCCAGCCATCGACTACTCAGCCCAACTGAGGAGTTGTGGTATTGTGATTTATATACGCAAATAATAAATGAGATTCTAGAACTTCATCATGAGCTACTTTGCAAATCGTCATTTTTAGCGAGCACCTATCCCATGGAAACAATAACAACAGGAGAAACGCAGCATCTGTTTATAGTATATATTAATCGACAGTTTAATCTGCCGTATCAACTTCTACCGCAAGTCAAGCAGTCATCTAGGCATGGAGAATGGATAGGAGGGGGAAGCCCGTGGACGGGAAGTCTTTCAACTCTGTTCCAATGATGACCCAATGGATCCAATTATGTGGAACCCAACCAACCGTGAATCTACTTGAACGGACTTTGAACTTAACACTCGTGGCTATAGTAGACACGATTGGAGCTTGAAGCATCCGACACAAGTGCTCACGCTGAGTCGTCGTCGCCTGAACGGCACGTGGAATCTGGAGGAAGAGACCAGGGTAACTGAATGAATGAATAGCATTGCGGGAGTATGGCATTGTTTTTATTTGATATCGTGTAGGGGATCTCGAACTACGCAATGGAAATGGAGGGTTTAAGGTCTCCCCTACCCATCAATCTCGCTCGTCACGTTGCATATAGGAGGAAGTCGGATAGTTAGGTATTACAAGTCTATTTACAATTGCAACTTGATGCTATCGCTGGAGTGAATGACCCTTTCTTGTATTTCTTCAAGTAAAAACGTAGTTGGGTATTGTTATATCGGCATTGGGTAAGCTCTTGACTAATGTTGTACAATTAGATCTGAGTGTGGACGACTAATGCGTTAGATATTGTTGAGATGCATTTCGGGTTGAGCACCTCGCGGAGACGACGGTTGGGATTATCTATAATCACTACGAGAGAGGTAATGAGAGTATGAAATCGCCCTGGGCATAATTCCTACGCAAAAAGATTATTTAGGGAATTCAAGTTAGTTAGATAGTCGTGAGTATTTTTGGTGGTTATATCAGGCGTGACTAGTAATTAGGTACTTCGAGGTTGTATAAAAGTTACCTCATCAACTTACCCCTTTCCTGGATCCTTATGTTCTCCACAGCACTTAAGGTATAGACAGATATATATATATGCGTTCTTACTTATCAAATTCGCAGGCTGAAAGATGATAAGATCAATCCATGACCAATGTAATTAGATCGATGTGCGTTCTTCTATCTTGCGCAGCTGTCTATAGATACTTCCCCTTGGCGAACCGACCGCCAAAGTCAGCGGCCTTGTTCAGTAGTTCCCGCCGCTGCGCAGCGCCGATACGACCTCCGAGCTTCATGTCCTTCTCCTTGTCGAAGGTGCGCTTGCTGGGGTCGTCCTCTTCCTCGTCCACCCAGCTCTTGGCGCCGACGGTCTTGGGATTGTCGCCGCGCGCCCGCGCCGCTTGGTGCTCCTCGTACAAACTGCGGCCGCGCGTCGACTCGGTGTAGTTCTGGATCCGCGCGGCTTGCGCAACATCTTCTTTGGTCTTGCTTTGCGGACGTGGCGGATGCGAGGATGCACTGGATCCCGCTGTTGTGTCCCGGCCTAGCACGGCGTTCTCGAGACGCTTGCGCTTCTCCTCGGGCGTCTCTGTCCATATGCTGCTGATTTCGCCGCCGTTGCTTGCGCCTGCGCGCGGACCTGAGTTGAAGCGGCGCGCTTTTATTTTCGTCGGGTCTGAGGCACGATATCCACCTGCGCTTGGCGGCGCGAGCATCCACTCGTCGCGCTGGGGCGCTTTAACTGTTGCTGCTTCGGCTTCTGCTGCCTCGAGAGCACGGGCCTGCCGCTTTTGGTGTGATGTGGATGATGGGAGGGCCGGCCCGTAATCATCGTCCGAATCGGATTCTGAATCTGCTGGCGGCCTTTCTGAGAGGTCTGCTGGGGGTGGAGCAGGGCCTTGGACACGCTTGGGTTCTGGCGGTGCTGGGCCAACGTCGTCATCTTCACTTTCGAGGTCGATTTCGTCTGTGCTTGTCGGTGGTAGTGTAGGGCCTATTGAGCGGTTTGTCGTGTGTGTGGTGGGTGGTAATGGCGCCGAAGGACCAGTGGTTTTCTCCTCGCTTTTAGGGGAGGTACTGCTGGTGTTCTTCTCTGAGAGACTTGGCCCTGCTGAGGTTGATGGAGGGGGGGCCGGGCCTATTGAAGACGGGCGCGAGATAGCTTTTGGAGCAGGAGGACCGTATCCATCATCGCTATCACTGTCGAGCTCAACTTCATCTTCGTTGGTTCGCGTGCTTTCTGAAACACGTATTTTCGATGCGGGTGAGTCTGTAGATGTTTCCTCGTCGTCGGGCGTGCGCTTGCGTTTCGCGAGCTGCGGGGGCAATGCTGGCCCAATAGAAGCCATTGTGAAACACGACCGAGGTTCTTTGCAATCAACAGGTCAACGGTTGGTTAGGATGAGTGATGTTTCTAGACGTGAGTCTTCGGGTTAAATGTTTAAACGATTCTATAGCACATGTAGGTATAGGTCAGATAAAGCTCCCCTGGTAGGCAAAGTGACGTGGAGGGACTCGGGAAGTGGCTGGGATAGCTGCTGTTAGTGAAGTAGCGGCGGGGCCTGGGAAATGATTGGCGGCAGCCGGTAGGGATCGTGTAGTAGTTATAGTGCTGTGCTGTGCTGTAGCCTGCGCCCTGGCTGAAGCTCTATCTGCCTAGGCGCACCCATACAGGCCTGACTTGCCAATCTTGAGAGTGCGACAATAAGGTAGACAACATCAATTGGATTTGATAAGTCTGGAAAGTGACGGTCTACGATCCTACAGCGTATATATCACGGCAGTACACGAGATAACTTGTTTCCCCTTTGTTAGAGCCCGCCTTGCCTCCCTATTTGTCTCAACCGTGTCTAGCTCACCTCCAAACTTCCATTGAGCTCGACCTTGAACGCGCGCCAGTAAGCTCGGAGTACCTAATTCAAAGAGCTTCCAAACACCCCAAGCATTGCGAAGCCGTGCCGCGAGCTGGGGCGCCGTGTTGTATCCTATTGAGAAAATACCCATGGAAGCCATGCGCTCGATACAACCGCCCCGATGAGCACACAGCCACCGGAGAGGGAAGATGAGGATATGGGCGAAGACCACTTAGATCCGCTTCCCGATGCGGATGTAATTTCCAGTGACGAAGAGACGATCAAGGGGGATGACCAGGACCATATTGCCGGCGTCTTGGAGGAAGAGCTACGGGAAGATGTATCCAATCCGCCGCCAGTCGAAGGCTCTGTTGCCGCCAGTCGGTACCGGCAACTGCTCAGAGACCAAGCCGATGTGTCCGATGAGGGTTCGTCGATGGATGGTCTACCGCGGCGAGCTTCTAGTCCAATAAACTCTTTACTATCGATTCCGGACGATTCACCTTCTATCCAAGTAAGAGCGCCAGCCTCCCAGTGTTTGGTACTATGCTAACGTTACTGAAGGGGTCGGTCTTATCGTCACCCGGTAGCAGCGTTGCTCCGTCTATGGCATCGCGACCCGGATTAGCCAGTCCAACCCCTTCTTTTCGGCCCTTTGACCGGCGATTCCAATCACGCATCTCCTCTCCATCTACACTATCACCGCGACCTTCATCTCCCGCTTTCCTGACGGGACACAGTAGAAATGTGTCTCTCAGTAGCCAGCTCTTGCTAGATCCCGGGGAGACCGAAACCCCCTCGCCGCCATGGGAAGTTGTACGATGGACGAAACTTAAGAAACTGAATGGACAATGTTTCTCGGAAGCTGGGAAGCGCAATTTTGGTTCTCCTACCTGTATAGCTATCTCTGCTTCAATTGTTTTGGGCACCACTAAGGGCATAATTCTAATGTTTGATTACCACCAAACTCTGAAAATGATAATTGGACCAGGCACCAGAGGTGAGGCAACCCTCCCCTCCAATCCTTCTTGAAAATTCTAATCCAAAATAGCCGTGGAATCTGGGGCGATCACATCAATCGCCATATCAGCGGATCATACCACAATCGGGGCCGGTCATGCAAACGGAAGCATCTTCACCTGGGACACAAGTCGGGCCTCGCGCCCTTTCTTACACATACCTCATTTAGATCCGGCCCAAATGCAACATCGGACAGTGGATGGCCATATGCCCAACGTGGCTGTCACCCACCTTGGATTTTTGGGTACGAGACACACAGCCTTGGTTTCCGCAGATGATCGAGGCATGGCTTTCTCTCATTTAGCCACCAGAGGAACCGGCTCGCTTGGTAGAACAGTCAAGACGGTGAGGATACTTGGACGTTATCCCGAGACCCCAGCGCCAGCAGGCAAACCTTTGAAACCCAGTACTGTACTGGCATTCTCGCCTCTACCCCTCGGAAATGTGGAACGTGCTACAGACTCAATGGGTCTTACGGCAATGCTCACACCATATCTCTTAGTCATTGTATCAACAACACCCATCGCACAGACCCAACATAAGTCGGCAAGACCAAAGGATGTTGCACCACATAGTGCGATGAGTGGATGCTTGGCGTGGTTCCCCGCGGTCAAGTTAAAAGTTCCCGACCCTGCTACCGGCAGTACAATGTCGAAAGTCAAATTGGTTTACTGCTGGTCGAATGTTTTGACTGTTCTGGATGTGGATGAGATACCCCCCGATAACAAGGATAAGCAGCCAACACTCAAATTCAAAGCACGGAGCCGTTGGAAATGTGAAGAGGCTATTGTCGCAGTTCAATGGCTTAGCCGCTCGGTCTTGACCGTATTGACTGTTAGTCAACGATTGATCATTCTGGAAGATCGTTCAATGAGGATGACTGAGGCTTTCGACCTGATTCACAAGTACATCTATCATTTGGATTTATTTTCAGAACAACTACACGCGTTGGTAGAGCAGCTGGATGAAGATGACACCTCTATGCACGGTGTTGTTGCTGATGCGTTCTATATGAGCCTGAAGACATATAAGGGGCGCCTCTTTCTGCTCGGATTCAACGATGTCTCGATTGGTTCACTGTCAAACTGGGCTGACCGCTTGATCGCATTGATGGAAAATGGCGATTATGTTGGCGCGATTCAATTAGCAACCTCGTACTATACTGGCGACGCAAACAAGTTGACTATTGGACTGCCTGAAGATGCAGTTTCGCGGCATCAAATGGTACAAGACAAACTAATGGAGATCATGACAGCATCGTTGAAATACGCCTTTGGCCAACGCCAAAAGAACAAATCCTCAGCAGATGACCAGCATTTACACGAATTAGCAGAAACGTGCTTTGTGGCGTGCAAGAATGTGGGTGACATTGACTTTCTATTCGATGAAGTTTACGAGTGGTTCGAAGAGGGTGAAGTCGAGGGAATATTTCTAGAGGTTCTCGAGTCATATATCCTGGAAAAAACCATAAGGACCGTGCCACCAACCGTCGTCAAAGCAATGGTAACGCATTTTGTGACCCAAGGCTGGGAAGGTCGCCTTGAAGAGATGATTTGCCACATGGAGACGACTACTCTCGATATTGACCAGATCACACTGCTTTGTAAACAGCACGGTCTTTATGATGCATTGATATACGTGTGGAACCAAGCCCTGAATGACTACATAACACCACTTATCGATCTTCTCACCCTTCTCAAGCCACTGATGCAAAGTGGGGATTACGAACCAAACAGCAATGTGATGGAAAATGAGATCTTCAGTGTCAATTCTCTCAAAATCTTTCCTTATCTATCTTATACGTTGACAGGTAGAGTTTATCCAACGGGAGAGGCTATCGAAGAAGAACTGGCTTCTAAGGCAAAGGCCGAACTTTATTGGTTCCTCTTTTCTGGAAACATAATTGAGTGGCCAAAGGGTAGCAACAAAGACTTCTTGACTCGGCCATCAGGGACGCAAGAGCCACCATTTCCCTATCTAAGGATGATATTGAAGCTTGACGCTCCAAGCTGTTTAAGTGCGCTAAATGAGGCTTTCGAGGACCCCTTTCTCAATGAGTCGCAGGAGAAGCAGCTCAATGGAGGTACCGGAAAGGACCTTCCAGAAGAGCAAGTGTTTGGCATGACTGTCGATCGCCAGTACATCGTGTCGATCCTGCTGGAGATAATGAATCCCGATGACTTCGCCCCAGAGGATACTATCTATTTGGATATGTTCATCGCGCGGAATCTGCCCAAGTTCCAGCAGTATCTCATTATCCCGGGGTCGACATTGGATAAAATAATCAGCGGCCTCTGCAACTACCCAGGTGTTGATCTAGCAGATGATGCCCAACTTAGTGCAGAATACCTTCTTTCAGTCTATCAACCGCCAGACTTAATGCCAATGATACCTCTGTTTGAGAAGGCGGGATTTTACCGTATCTTGAAGCGAATTTATAAAACTGAACACCGATATGGCTTGTTGGTGCAAACCTACTTTGACGACCCTGATGATCAGGAAGGGATTTTCGGTTGCCTTGTGGATTGTCTCAAACCTCAAGCTAGCTTGAATAAACGGCAAATTCAAGATGTTTACGATGTTATCAAACAGCATTCGGCGGAACTAGTAGAGTTAGATGCGGAAAAGGCTGCACAGATGCTCCACCAATATGCACCCGAACTACACCACTTTGTCGTGGAGTCTCTCGAAGATAGCCCCGAGCTACAATATGCATATCTCAAAGCACTTTTCGAACCCGAAGCTGGAACTTCTCGACAGCCAGAGAACAATTTGGGACGAGAATTTATCGAGCTCTTCGTGCAGCTTATGTGTAGATATAATTCCAACCATGTATCGGATTACGTTGGTTCTGTTCAAGCAACAAACCTAAGACTCGATAGATTGCTGCCAACCATGGAAGACACTGGCGTTATCGATGCCGCGGTCATTCTCATGGCACGTGAAGGACAAGTACAGGATGCAATGAGCCGTCTAACAAAACATCTATTTACACTAGAGTCAACGCTTCAAGGGCTCTTGTCTGGCACAGTTGAAGACAAAGAGGAGGTCGACGTTGAGGATGTAGCTGAAGAACTTTTAAAAGCACTGCAGAAATATACCCATGTTGGTATTTGGTTGTGCCAAGGCCAGATGAAAACATCTCAACGGGTTGATGTTCTCCAGAGACGACAAAGCTCACCGACTCCTAGCGATCTTACACCAAGTGAAAAGTTATGGCTGGAAATAATTGACGTTACGGTTCAAATCACCCGCAGATTATCCAGCGTTGTCAGCCCACCTGACCAGGGCACAACTTCAACACGAGACCATATCTCGCAAATTCTAGATACCGAGAAACTTGTTGGTTTACTACGTTCGCTAGTTCAGCATACCTTCACGGCACTTCTTACGGCAACATCAGCACAAGGATCCTTGGAGTCGAGTAACCGTTTAGTTACGTCTTCTGGAGGCAGCTTGATGTTTTTGCGTATCCTTCGCGCCTTTTTGACACGTGCAGCTGCCACGTCACCAAATCTTGCTGATCTGCGAGCCGTTCTAGCATCGATTTTCTCCGCTTACGCCTATGAGCAGTCGATTTTGCAACTTTCAAATCGATTGCTGGAGCAGCAGCTATTTGTCAATGTCAAGCAAGCAGTAGAGTTACGCCAGAGGGGCTGGCGCCCAAAAGGATCTACTTGTGAGGCTTGTGGACGTCGGATCTGGGGTCCTGGTGTTTCTGGCAATGTGTTTGAAGCTTGGGAAGAGAAGCAAACAATTGAGACTACAAGGCGAAAAGAGAAGAAGTCCCTTGCCGCTGCTTCTACTTCCTCTACGGTTCGTGGGAAGGGTATAGCAGAATCCTCAACAGAGCAAGAGATATACTCGGGGAAAGGCAAAGGCAAGAGTGTCGATCCACCAGCTCAACAGGGTTCACTTGAAGGCACAACAGCCCAAGGTGAAAATTCTTCTGAGGACAGGGGCTTAAGCGTAAATGGCAATGCTGTAGGCTCGAGGAGGAATGAGCCGTTGGGACCACTTGTTGTGCTTGCATGTAGGCACATCTATCACCAAAGATGTCTAGATGCATTGCAGGCACAGAGCAAAGATAAACGCCACAAGTCAGTTGATGATTTTGGCCGCGAAAGAGAGTATATATGCCCCATTGATGGTTAGATACTTACAGAAACACAAATACTTGTATATACTTGTCACCCAATGTATTGATGATATATTCCTGACTTTCTTGAAACTAGTTGCACTAGCATGATTGCGATCCCGAAGGCTTTCATCCTACGACGGCCGGAGGTCTGTCTCCTTGAGAAACGATGTCTACGTCCATAGTTGCCTATGAAAGTCTCACGAGTTGCTTCACTCTCTTCTGTTGACGTTTCTGTTGAGTCACACAATTCAACTGCGTGTTTCCAGCTGACCTAGCACTAAAGTCGTCCTCGCTCCCGATCTGCCAGGAAGCCCACCCAGATCGTAATTCTGTAGGTACCAATCTTCAACTTCACGCTCTCAGCTCGCTTGTATGCTTTTTTGTACAATTATATCTCATATTACAGCAGTTGTTGAGACTCCTGGCAAGAGATGTCGAAATTTCCGGGGGTTTTGGTAGTGGTTCTACAAATATCAAGATAAGTGGGGTTGGGTCATGTTGTAAGGGAGTTCGCAGCACTATAAAATAAGGTGTGCCATTCACATAGTTTTCAGTATCATCACCAATACCACCACGACATCGCAAAAGTAAAACGCTTGCTAGTACACCTTCGGTTCTCGTGAATAATACTCAATAATACCCGGCATGGCGCCTACACAGCTTCCGGCCTCGGGAAACCCCCTGTGAGTTGCTTTCCGCGTCATGACACCCGCCTGGCTCGGCGATCAAGAAGCGGCGCTGGGTTGAAATGGACGCTTGTCTCGAAGTTTAAACAAACAACAATGCTGATAATGACCGGGTTGTAGGGTGTTCTTCGACATTACCCTTGGAGGTAAGATGTATTGTCCCGACGTGGCTCCCTCATTTTCACTGTCGCGGGAAGCCATCTTGGGATTCTTCTCCAACTGCACTTTTCGCCATCATGCATCTACTACAATATCGCTGCCTGCCCATTGCACATGCCATTATGAGATTCTCCCACGCTTCATATTACTTACTGACGACTCAATGAATGGCAGGCGAGCCCCTCGGTCGCATCACCTTTGAGCTCTTCAAGGATACAGTGCCACGAACGGCAGAGAACTTCCGCCAGTTCTGCACCGGCGAGTCTAAGGATAGCCGCGGACAGCCCCAAGGGTATAAGGGTAGCAAATTCCACCGAATTGTGCGATAATACTCTTTTCAAATTCATCGTTCTTGCTTACTATGCTAGCATCTAACTAATACCACTTTACGATGAATCAGATCCAAAACTTCATGTGCCAGGGTGGTGATTTCTTGAATGGCAACGGAACGGGGAGCACTGTAGGTTCTTGGAATGCGCATCCCTTGGGGGGTGTTAACTGGTCTAACTAGATTTAGTGTATCTATGGCACCAAGTCGTTCCAAGACGAGAACTTTACCTTGAAACATACGCAGGGCGGTTTGCTCTCCATGGCGGTAAGAATTATCCTTCCCTTTCTAATATGCCAACAGAGCAGTTAGCGCGCGTCACGATGTGTATTGGATTGTCTCTGACTTCTTTGTGGCCAACTAGAACTCGGGCCCGAACACGAATGGAAGCCAGTTCTTCATCACTACTACGCTTACCCCTCACCTAGACGGGAAACACGTCGTCTTTGGAAAGGTTGTTGACGGCATGGACGTTGTCTCGAAGATGGAGAAGACGAAGACTGGTCGTAAGGGCCGCGATGTCCCGGATTTAGATGTCGTTATCGCTCAGTGCGGTGAGCTATGATCGGTTTATCAAGGGCTAGTGGGAAAGGTGGCAATGTAATCTCCGATGTAGACGGTATATGGGCGCTCGGGAAAAGGAAAAAATAGGGTAGCTGGTTTGCTGCAATGCTGGTGACCTAGGTGCGAATATCTACACCGTGGCCTGGCTCGAGTTAGGACATATGATGGAGGAGATAGGTATCACAATACCCGGGCCTCACAGAGTGCTTGTTATGGTAGATGCCAAATCACAACGCAAAAGCAAATGCAAAGTCCACAAACAATCTAGGACGGAGACAACAGTATATTGCTATTCTCGTGATGATCTACCCCCGTTCTATCCACCTCTCTAAATATCGGCACCCCTTTATCCTCGATCGCCCCCTCTCCTTTTCTTTCTCCTTCCTGTTGTTTTTCTTCCCATATGCTCCCCTGTGGCTGCTGCTGTTTCCAGCGGAACTCCCGCTCAACCCCAATCCGCCTCTGCGCCGTATCGCAAAGTCTTTCATTCCCACACTCGCACTGGCCTCCTTCGCGCAGCCACCGGTACGTGATACTCCAACGGTCACCGCGCATCCGCACCGTGCCATCAGCGAGGACGTCCTTCTTACGCTTCTTGATCCCATGCTCCCAGTGCAAACGTGAGTCCCCGGACATCTCCATCATGCTGCGAGGTGGGAGATCGACGTCGACCATTTCTCTCTCGTCCTCGGCTGTCTCCTCCACTCCGCCTTCCTTTGCCTCGCTGTCTTCTCGCGCCCTCGTGTGCCGGAACTGCATCATCACTGCCGAGCCCAGCGACAGCGCATACAGCTCATCGTACGCCGAATGCGTGTCCACGTGCGGCGGGATGCCGGCGCCAGGCGGGTAGTATTGCAGACAGACCTGATCTGGATCACGGCCTCCTTGAGCCGTCCGCGGAATCAGGGGCCGCAACCACCCTGGAAACGGCTTGTACGGGATATTCGGATCGATCCCGAAGGTCTTGTAGTCGAATGTGTACCCGTAGTGCAGCGATTTACGCGACGCGAATTTTTTGGTGGTGGGCCAATCCAGCTCGGAGCGGAAGATGTGTATGAGCTCCGCCTCATGCGCCGGCGTGACGAAGTCTGCTTGGAACTTTATGCCGCGCGGAATTATGGGTAGTTCTTCCATCGTGGTGTTTGTGGGGTGAGATTTGGTGCGATGAAAGGCTCAGGACTTGTAACGGATGATTGCAATCATAGGCCGCCTTGTCATGTTCAGGCGATTTACTTCGTCAGGTGATTGTAAGCGGTGTATGAACGAGTTGCTCAGTACCAATTTCCATATACTCACCAAATAACTAGGCGAGAATAAGAGGCGCACTCGGATTATAGCTAGAGTATAACATTGGGATCCCGAGATGTGAGATCGTGGGTAGTGATGAGAAAGAGCAAAAGAAGCAAGCAGTAATGATGGTTTCGATGAGTTTATCCAATGAGGTTGTGTGACAGAGTGGGACGGGTCACTGCGGCTTACCACTTCTCCTCGCTCATTCGACACCATCTGGACAAACAAAATGGTCTGGTCCAAATTAGAAAGATAGGGAACATCATCATCATCATCTGTACCGAGTACTATCTTCAAGCTATCGAGGCACATGTCACGAGCACCGAAATATTTATAAAACCCATTAACACCAACGCCATCGCTAATTGCATCTAAATTGAACTATGGGTATCACTATGCGAACCGCCATGCTGCTCATACTGGTCGTCATCATCATCCAAACATCCATATAAAACCTCGCACACGCCTGCAAGGGGTACGTCCATGACAGCATCCGTTCCCCTGTTCCAAATCCCCTTCCAATCAAGCTGGCGCGCAGTCTCCTCCGTTATCTGCTTTCGTTCGCCGGCCTCCTTCAACCTGATGCGTCCTTTACTGTCAATGGTGGCTATCTTGGCTGCCTCGTCGACGATGGTCTCAATGGATGTCAGAGGCAGCGTCAGCACCTCGGTGTTGTACAGCGCGAGAGCCACGTATATGTACACGATCAACATGGTGATGAATGACGGGATTGCCAACGCCCACCACCGGTTCGGGTAGTAGTATATGCCCAGCGCGTGGAGGAACGGCGAAGGTAGGTACGCCCACAACAAGTAGATCAGAAAGGTGAGTGACGAGAACAGGTATACGACGAAACCGTAGTATTCGTACGTCGGCACCTTTGGAGATGCGCGCTGCACCGGCTCGATGTCATCGTCTGACGGGTCTGGAGTCGTAGGCCGCGAGGGTCGAAGCAGAGAGGTCAGAGACGGCGACGGTGGTAGCGGAGTGGGCGGGCGGCCGTAAAAGGGCGGCGCAAAGTAATTCTGGCTTAATGGAGGCGGTGGGAATGGCTCGTCGTCGCCCGAGGATGAGGCGTTGGACTGGTTGTCGAAGAGGTGATCGGCCTCTTCATCGTCGGAGAGCGACGACATGTTCGAAACAATAGAGATGTCATTCGTTTCAGCAGCACCATAAACCGTATCGTAGTTATCGAGCATTCGCACCCAGTAGGTACGGAGTCTAATGCGACTGCCCGATGGAAGCTAGGTATGGTATCTCGAATCGCATAGTCGCTTGTCCGACAGAGTTTATTGCCCACATTGAAACCGTCATTGAAGCTGGTCAGTAAAGCTATCAGTGAAAGCTCCTACCTAGTAGAATTAGCTGGGGGTTAGGTACCCTCTCCAGGCTAACCTACCTACTGTTGCGAGTGGATTTGATGGCAGATTAGATGGCAGATAAGATAAGGTCAGGAGGTAGTGATCTAACCATTGGCTTGATTACCCACCTTCCTAACTTACTTATCCTCATCCTTATTTACCTAAGTCTGACCACTCTGGATTGGACTCGCAAGAAAAAACCGTATATGATATTACAAGGCAATACACTAACCTGCTCATAGTATTGTCTTCTATATACTGCGGGAATTAAACAATATCTTTCAAACACTTGGCATAACAGGCCAGATAAACAGAGACAGCACTACAAGATTCCAAATTGTATGTATTAGGACCTCAATCAACTATAAATACAAGGTAACTATGTACAGCACCCAACCAGTCATGCCAGACGAAAAATAGATATCCGCTTAGTAAAATGGGAGCGAACATCGACTTTTCGTATAGCGGGCCAGTTTAAGAACCTTTTGACGAAGAGAAATTGGCTGCGTACCTCTGCTACTACTAAGCAGAGAGCATTGGTTCGTTCAACCCCGAAATTCAATAGACCCTTTAGAGCTTCACTCTAGTCAAGTCGACACGCTGGCAAGTTGGGTTGTGTGGCTGGTCGCCAAAGGTAATCCAGGACAGCGTATATCCGGCGATAGTGTACGTCGTCTGCCAGCAAATGACCCAACCATTCTCTGGGAACTTGTCAGTCATCCATCACATCATCATTTCAATCCTTCAGGCAGGCGACTCACGTATTTTAATCGAGGTTTCATCTGATCGTTTCCCTACAACCTCTTCCGCATCATTATGACCCTGGAAGTATACATAGGCCCTTCCGTCCTTACCAAAACCTAGCTGGTGCGTGGTGTATGGGTTGGCGCCGGAACCGAGCTCTAACCACGCAATATTCGTACCAGGGAAGTGCGTCCAGAACATAGGCTTTCCTTTATAAAGATTGTCTGGGTTGCTCGAGTTGCTGGCATTGATATCCGTGACCACAAAGCCCAGCCCCGAGTCATCGTCTACTGTGCTGTTGAAGTAGAAGCGGTACGACGAGTTAAAGGCAGCAGGCGCAGGACCTGGGCGATAGTGCAGCACAGAGATTCCAGCGTCCGGATCATGGTCCGTCGCAAATTCATGGACGGCGTAGAGGTACCCTACAGTCGTTAGCGAAGAGTCTTTTATTCGTCAAGGCTCGGGGTGCAGCTCTCACCGTTAATCGAGCTCTTGCCTTGGCCCTTGACGTGCAGTGCGTACGGGCCGTCGGTCTTCAGATCGGGGAATGGGTTTCCATCGATATCGGTACCCTGGGAAAGGACCCCGGTAGCGGCGAAGAGGCCGTGCAATATAGTAGTGAATTTCATAGTGGAGTAGAGACAAGGCTGGAGTTGCTAGGGAGAGGTTGATAGCTGTAGGAAACTATGAATACGATAGTCGACTTCACGGTTGCTGGTTTTCGAGATTAGAACGGTATGTTAGAAAACACTATGAATATAAAGATGTACAAAATCCTGCTGCCTGAGAAGCAGACCCTTACTTCCCACTTTTATATAATCCTTCCTAGGCTGCTATTTAAGATTGATTTGCATGTTGGCAAATAATTTGGATGAACGATCTTAGCTTTCTATTCTAGTCGCACTACCTATGGACTCGACCATGAATTAAGTCAATTGATCTGCCGCTGATACACGAAATGCACAGCTGCGGAGTATAGGCGTAATTTACCTACGGTATATACGACAGGCTGCCATAATTGACTGCGGGTATTTTCAATAATGCTGGATTCGACAAAATAAACCCATGTACAGCCGTGTTGAAGGCGTTGAAGGTGTTGAAAGTGCAGAGGGTAAATGGGCTGGAAGGTATTGCCTAATTGAATTTTATAGCTGTATTCAACTTTTTCAATCGCTATATAAAGTAGAATTAGTTAAAGCAGAGCTACTTTTATTGTAGTGGGGATGCTATATAAAATTAAGTACCTCAGTTTTTGTAAGTTAACTGGTCATTTGTAAGTTAAAGTAGGTAACCTAGGTATTTGGGTAGGTGTAACCTGCCTAACAGCCAGCCGCCCTTGCTGTCACCAGCCACACGCGACCGAAGCTTCAAAGTTGTGTGTTGTGTTCTGCGATTGAAGCTTTGCGGAACTCCCCCGCCATCTCTCTTTCTCCCACCTCACTAATCGTCGCACTTCATTTTCCAGCTTCATTTCTCAATAGTCCATTCTTTATCTCGCTTTCCATTACTATGGCGGCGCAGCAACCCCTTCCCAATACGCAGGCACCGTTAGATGTCTATGGTGGAGGTAAGCACTGCATGGTGATCTTGGTGGTGCTGGTGGAATTAGCATTGGAATGGCCAGCTGACCTGCAACCCTAGACGAGGTATCAGCACTTGTTCTCGATGCTGGCTACTGCCACACGCTCGCTGGATTTGCCGGCGAAGATGTTCCCAAATCCGTGCTGCCATCCTTTTACGGTTCTCTAAAGACCAGCAACCCGGAATCTACTACGACGACGTACCGAGATATCTTCGGCGACGAATGCCAGTACCCTCGCGCTGACTTTGAGGTTAAGAATTACATGTCACGTAGCGAGAGCATCGTGAAGGATTGGGATGCCGCCACCAAGCTGTGGGAGCACATGCTGATCAATCGACTGCAACCGGATCGCGCGTCGCCCCCCATCATCAGGAGCAGCGCGAAAGAAGGAACAGCAGACGGCGAGGGAGATGTTGCGATGGAAGACGTTGAGGTTCAGGAGAAGCCTCTGGCAGAGAACCCTCTTCTCATGACTGAGGCCCCGTGGCAGACGGGCAAGAACCGAGAGAAGGCTATTGAAATCGCCATGGAGAACTGGGGCTGCCCTGCTTTCTGGATGACCAGGACTCCCGTATGCGCTGCTTTTGCGGCGGGTAAGGCCTCGGCGTTGGTCATTGACGTTGGCGGTGCCAACACGAGCGTTACAGCCATACACGATGGCATGATTCTCAAGCGATCAATTCAAAAGTCACAGATCGGAGGTCTCTGGCTGTCGCAACAGATACGGACTATGTGGGATAACAGCGAGCCCAAAGTCAATATCGTGCCCTACTTCATGATTGAGAATAAGACCCCTGTTGACGCTGGTGCCCCGGCCCAAGCTAGACTCCGCAAATTTCCCTTCGAAATTACTCCCTCGTACCGCGCATACGAAGAGGAACGCCTATTGACCGAGTTCAAGGAGTCGGTTGTCGAGGTGTGGAGAGGCCCGGGTAGATATCTCAACCCCGGAAACGAAGAGCTGGTCAAGACACAGCCAGGCCGGGTCTTCGAGATGCCAGACGGCTGGAACCAGATGTGGCGGGAACAGCGTTATCGCGTGTCAGAGGGCATGTGGGACGAGAATGCTGCTCTTCCGAATCCCGACGGCAGTGCTAAGGCGCAGACCATCCCCGAGATGATCAAGGCCTGCTTAAATGCCGTAGATGTTGACTTGCGGCCTAACTTGCTTGGCAATGTTGTCGTTACTGGTGGTACCAGCTTGCTGAACGGATTCAACGATCGCCTGAACAACGAGCTGATGGCCATGCACCCAGGTATGAAGATTAAGCTACACGCCGCCGGTCTCACCACAGAACGCCGCTTCGGTTCCTGGATAGGTGGCAGTATCCTCGCCAGTCTCGGAACATTCCACCAAATGTGGATTTCGCGTAAAGAGTACGAAGAGAATGGGCCTGGTATCGTCGAGAAGCGCTGCAGATAACGGAAATATCTTCCCTCTCTGTATCCTCTCCATGTTCATGTCTCGAGGTAATATTGCGACTGCGGCTCAGGAATCACGGTATTGGAAAGCATGAGTTATCCTGCCTGATGTTTTCAGGCATTTGGCGTACGGAGTTGTTTGTGGAAAATGTAGAATGTCTCCGGAGAGACTTCACTCGAGCTCCTGTGCTAAAAGGGGGGGTTAGAGATAGGAACAGAGGCTTGTAAACTTTGCAATGAAGCATTGAATTGTTATTGGCATTAAAGAACCCGATTGCTGCAATCGCTGGTGGATCTCTACGCCCCGTTATTGGAACTTCTTCATCAGTTCCTATGTCAAAGTGCTGTTTGCGGTCTTGATTCTGATTATATGTGCTATCCAAATCTAAGGAACAATGACACGCTGCTGGCTTATCTCCTAGGTCAGCAATATTCGATAGCTGCGCAATGAAAGCAAGACTAGCTAACATCATCATTCACATCACCATCCATTCCACCGGGGCCAGACATCAATGATCTCGTCTTCCCGCCCCGCATTGCGCGAGTCCACAACGAGATACCACGGGTATCCAGCGCCCGTGATACACGAGTGATTGGGCCAGATGCGCAAACGCTGGCCCACCGCAAGCGGTGTCTCCTCATCATTCGCCGTACTCCCATCACCACCATCACCACCAGCTCCGCCGCCGCCGCCGCCGCCGCCTCCTCCCCGCCACGCCAGCACCCCGTGCTCCTGGCTGATGCGCGCGACCTGCCAGCCGCCGTGGACGGCCGGAAACCCGGGTCCCGGGACGACGTTGGCGACGCCCGCCCACGGCATCACGATGCCCCAGCCGTTGTAGTGCCGCCCTTTCACGCTGCCCATGTCCTCGCACGGTTCCCGCCCCAGCGCGAGACTCCCCGCGTTCACGAGCGCCTCCGTCGCGCCCCCCGGTCCGCGCCCCGGATACACTGACGACACCTCGGCGAGCACCGTGATGCCGATCGCGGACGGATTCAGATAGCGCGCGTCGCATGAGTGCGCGGCGAGCTGTTGGACGTCGAGCGTGGGGTACACGCCCGCGTGGATCTCGAGAGTCAGGCCATCGGCGCGCATGCGCGCCAGCAAATCTTTGATCTGCGATACCGCCGCCGTGCTGTCGCCATTCGTTCCCCCGTTTGCAACAGCGGCGCCGTTGATGTCGAAGTCCGGGTGGTGCAGCGAGTTGACGGTGGGCGTTGCGCCGACGGAGAGCACGAGGGGGTGGTCGGGGCGGTCCTTCTGCACGGCGCGCGCGACGTCGTGCAGGGTGCCGAACTCGACGCCCAGGATCCCCATGGCCGCCCAGTCCTCGCGCGACGCGTACGAGTGGCCCGCGTGGCTGTACAGACCCCAGAAGACGGAGGCCCCGACGGTCTCGGAGAGCAGGAGCTCGCGGACCAGGGCCACGCAGGCGGGGGAGTCCGGCGGCACGCCTGCGCGGTTGCTGCCGATGTTGATCTTTAGGAAGACTAAAGGGGGGTTGCCGGCCTTGGAGGCGAGGAGGGTTAGGAGCTTGATCTGGTCCGCGTGGTCGACCATTACGGTGAGACCTTGCGGGCCTAGCTGTGAGGATATGGCTGCTAGACGATCTACGCTTGAGGGGTAGATGGGGAAGGAATACAACATCTTTTTGAGGGGGGGCCAATGGTTAGTAGGAGGGTTGTTTAGAGGTGTAGATAAAGTACGTGTACGTACGTTGACTTGTCGTCCCTTTAGCTGGTATTCCTTCAAAAGGGGCAATACGTTCTCGGCCTCGGCGAGAGTCGATACGACGATGTTGACTGGCGTCATCTCATCGTCGCCCACTTGTAGCCTCGTGAGCTCAGCCGTCTAGATCTCGGTCGACGTCACGTCAGTTTCCGCTATGCTACTCAAATAACCCGCTACTTTATTTATATATGTCCGGGCTGGCTGACCTTGTGAGTCTTGATGTGCGCTCGCCAGTTGAGATCCAGTCTCCGAGCCGTCCTGAGCATCTGGTTGCAGTTCGCCTCCACCTTGGCCAGGTCTAGTACCGCGGCGGGCGTAGGCACGGAATGGAGTGTTTTGCCCACGAACTGCGCTCGCAGGAGCTCCTTTGATAGCTGTGTCGCCGCCATTGCTTTTGGCAATTTGGAGCTGGATCAAGAGGAAGCCGTGTTTCTAGCTCTAGTACCCCTCGCGGAAGTGAAGTTCTTCGTTGAGCAGGTAGTGACTAGCTAAGTCCCTAGGGAAAAGTTAGGCTTGCGTATGTATGTGTGTCTATGTGGAGGCAGGGTAAGGCAAGTCAGGGGTATGGCCCTTCTGTAAATCATACATACTCACACAGATACATAAGTGCCTAACTTATGTAAGTACTACCTAATAGCTAACAGTACGTATATAGAGACATCTCGTGATGCAAGATGTAAACGTAGCATCTGGTTTAATTAAATTCTGCAATGTTGGGGGCCACTGTTGGCTGGTTGGTACGATACAAGTCCTGGGGGTCGTGGTCCCCACGTAGTATGCCAAACATGACTCGAAGGGAGAGAGAGAGAGACCTGCCCAAGAAAGATGTGTTCCTGGCACTATGATAGGTTAAAGAACCGCAGCAAAACAGAAAATGGGGTAGACGATGTCAAATGGTAGCAAGTTGTCGTGCCGAGGTGTCGTTTGACCCACCTTTGGTTTATCGTTCGTCCTGTTGTGACGTTTGGTTGACATCGTTAAGGTAGGGCGGGGTGAGAGAGGAGGCCGGCGGAGACCAGGCGAGCCAGGCTCGCTTTTTTCTCATGTCCGGTTCATGTAACTGTTCGGACGCATGCGGCAACCCGCGATGGAGGCCGCTGTTTACTCGGTATAATATGTAGATGGGATTTGCTGAGTCCCGTGATAAAACTGTCCTTCTTGTGTCCCGTTCTTCGAATGCTTCCCCCACTCATCATGGTAGGCCAGGTACCATTACAGGTGAATCGTCTGCCTGGGTCGGCTACTTAGTCGATCATAGCGACACTACAATTGGGCTAGAGCTGGGTTGGTTGTTGCTTGGAAGACGAGGGGAAATAATGGAGAACGTTTTAGTAGATTCGGCCTCCAATATCGCTCTTTATTCCGTGCCTATCATGAGGACGCCCACATCAAAGCTCGAGAGAAGACCCACGTCGCCGCGACTGTGGCTGAGTGAATTGGAGATCCTGCTAGGAGATCATACTAATATGTACTCCGTAGTCACGAAGTAATTGATTCGGCTAATGGAGGGGAGATAGATCTGATCCAGGCAGTCTATAACTCTGATTCCAGACTTGTTGCAATGGATGAAGTCTTGCTATGCCATACGGCTTTACAGACAGTATTGTAGTCGATAGATAGATAGCCTATGAGCCACGTGGTTGCACGACATATTCTTTCTATCCCTGCTCATCGAGTCGCAAACCCCGTAAAGCGGGAGGGAGTACGTCAACAGAGCTCAGCCGCACGCCGCAGCGACGCAGTATTGGTCGTGATAACTACAAAACCTGCTTGCTATAAGATGCACCTACGTTATACCTACGTTAGGCAACAGAATAATTATTATGGCCATAACGGCCTCTCTCTTCATGCTCTGCACAGCACAGCCGGCCGGCCCTTATCTTCTTTGGGTCTGGACTCTAGCCCTAAAACCCTGTACTCCGTAAGTATGGTCAATTTCTGGGAACCCTGCAGCGCCACCTAAGTACATCTTTAATCGAGACGAACACTTGATCATGGAAAGCATCGTGATATTCAGATATGTATGCTAGACATACATCTCAACTCGATATATTTGTTGTTATTCTTCTATCCAGCTTTAAAATCTATCGCTAGGACCTATGTGAACCCCTTTCATGACCCCCTAATACCCCTTGCCTCTTTTGCAGTCAAGTGTGTTCGGAGCAGCTACCGCGTGCGTGATTGTCTCCTAGACATTTCCTACTACCTATGAGTGAGCGGTTCTCGCTCAATATCCGGGGGCACTGAATTTTTAGGGTTCCTCTGGCCTTTGGCGGTCTTTAGATTATTAAGATATCAAATCAGAGAGTTTCATGACTCCCCAGGGTCCTATTCCGCGAAATCGGGCGAGCTTGCGAAAAGCGGCTTTAGCCTTAAGCATCCACTCAGTCATTTCAGTGATGCCTTAGCTTATTGAACTTGAACAGTCAACGCCATCATCATCTCTGCTATTGGTAGGTATGCACAACTACTTGTTTAAACATGGGGATCGGGGTAATGGCATACAGGTACGCAGAAGGTACTATACAAGCACCTAGACATGTACCTAGACATGTACCCACAGACATGTATATGTAGGTATCTATAGGTAGACACTGTCTAGAACAGACAGACCCCTCCCCCACTCCAATGAAATCAGCCTCGCACTCGCACCCTCAAACCCCCCACCACGTCATCGCAGGCCCCGGCACCTCCCGGCACCCACCAGAGAGGGAGCTTCACACAGGCGCAGTTCCACCAAACATCATCAAAGTTCCATGCCAGGCAGCAAAATAGCAGAACTAATCATCTATCCAACATTCGTGGTCTTTAAGAAGCAGCTGACAGTCCGATTAATTCCAAGATTGTGTTCTCTTGCGACCCATTCCCGCTTCTAGTACCGATACTGCGTATCATGATACCCATCCATCAGGTCCTGCGCATTCTGTATACCTAGATACCTCAGGTGCCTGGGTAGTTATTTACATCATCAGTGTAACTAACTGTCTTTTATATCCCATCAGCTACAAGTGTAACAAGACACCTACAAGGTGATGCGTTGAGGCATCTCAGTCCCATTGCTTTCTTTCTTTCTTCCTTCCTTCCTCCCTTCCTTCCTCCGTCCACTCCTCATTCTCGTCCCGTTACTATCCCTAGGTAGTCAAACGGTATCTTTAACGCAAACCGGAAAACTGCTCTCAGAGCAATTCCTTGACCGAGGAAATCAATCCTTCGGCCATGTCTATAGTTGAGGAGAAGAGGAAGCAGGCTGCTCGTTGGGCAAAACGAGATGCCCTTGGGCCCACACCACGGAGTCGGTCCCGGACCGGCTCAGATAACGCTCCAGGCCTCGTTGTAACCGGTGACAGCCAACACTATAATAATGGCTTCCTTCCTGACGACCCCGGTCTAGTCGCCGACGAAGATGTGCCTCCCGCCTACAGCGAAGTCCATGACCGGCTGAATATCCACCAGGCCGGCTTCAATGCTGGCGCTGCTGTCACAGGTACCATTACCATCTACCGCCTGCTATTGCGCCCTCCTATGCCTGCAGCTAATAAACCCCTTGCTAGATGATGGCCGAGTCAATATCAACATAAATCAGACCAGCAGACACCTTGCCGATCTTATAGCGCCTACTCTGCGCAATCAACTGAGACATGAAGCGGAAATCTCTGGTACTAAGCCCCTACCACCCCCTTACATCCCCCCGAGCCTCGGCGGCCAGCCTGGACAGACGCCTCCTCCTCGGTTAAATGTCGTAATACAGATTGTCGGGTCGCGAGGCGATGTTCAGCCCTTTGTCGCTCTCGGCCAGGTATTAAAGAATACTTACGGTCATCGCGTTCGGGTTGCCACCCATGCCACATTTCAGCAGTTCATCATCGAGAATGGCTTAGAATTTTTTGCAATTGGAGGCGACCCCGCTGAACTCATGGCATTCATGGTTAAGAATCCCGGCTTGATGCCTGGAATTGATGCGCTGAAGAATGGGGAGATTACCAAACGAAGAAAGGGCATCGCAGAGATTGTCATGGGATGTTGGAGATCCTGCATCGAGACTGGCGACGGTCTTGGGCCTGCTCCACGTTTCAGTCGTAGAGACGAGGATATCCCTTCTGATGTAATCCCTGTTATGGGCGATTCAAGACACAGACCGTTTGTCGCGGATGTCATCATCGCTAATCCGCCAAGCTTTGCGCACATTCATATCGCAGAGAAACTTGGGGTGCCTCTACATTTGATGTTCACGTAAGTGAGATCCCCTAGTGCACTCTTAGGCCTGGCTAATCAAGCGTCCCTCAGCATGCCCTGGTCTCCAACAAGGGCCTTCCCACAGCCGCTTGCTAATATTCAGTCATCCAACACTGACCCAGTAACAACCAACTACTTGTCATATGCTATGGTTGAGATGATGACATGGCAAGGACTTGGAGACGTAATCAATCGCTTCCGGACTAAAATTCTCGACCTCGATCCTCTCCCGTTAATCTGGGCACCAGGCGTCATAACCCGCCTCCAAATACCCTACACATATTGCTGGTAAGTTGAATTCATGTTCTAAAACAGAAAGATGAATAGATTCTCATAAAGGAACTCAGGTCCCCGGCCCTTATTCCTAAACCCAACGATTGGGGTAATCACATAGACATCGCCGGTTTTTACTTCTTGAATTTAGCTTCATCGTATGTCCCAGACCCTGCGCTTGCAGAATTTCTGGCGGCTGGACCGCCACCAATCTATATCGGATTTGGCTCTATTGTCGTTGATGATCCCGATGGGCTTACCAAGATGATCTTCGACGCTGTGGCCGCAACTGGTGTTCGCGCTCTCGTCTCAAAAGGCTGGGGCGGTCTTGGTGCCGACTCCATGGGAGTACCTGAAGGTGTCTTCATGCTTGGTAATGTGCCGCACGACTGGCTATTCAAGAAGGTTTCAGCTGTGTGCCACCATGGAGGTGCTGGAACCACAGCCGCCGGGATTCAGGCCGGCAAGCCTACTATTGTCGTCCCTTTCTTCGGAGATCAGCCATTTTGGGGTGCTATGGTGGCGAGGGCTGGCGCAGGCCCAGATCCTATACCCTACAAGAAACTGACTGCAGAAGGTCTTTCCGAGGCCATAACTATCGCACTCAAACCGGAGACGCAAGAGAAAGCGAAAATTCTGGGGGAGAAAATCCGTGAGGAAAAGGGTGCTGATATAGGGGCTCAAAGCTTTCACAAACACCTCGACGTGGATACTCTAAGGTGTTCTGTTTCACCTAGTCGAGTGGCTGTCTGGCGGGTGAGGCGAAGTCAGATACGTCTCAGTGCATTCGCGGCTGCCACTCTCGTAAATAGTGGCTATATTCAATACTCGGACTTGAAACTGTAAGTATACGAGAATGTAGCCCCTCGGCACCACGCCATAGAGCATAGAAATTGACACTTCATTATAGCTTCCGCGCAAAGGAATACGAAACAGACAACCACCCTACTGACCCTATTTCGGCTTGTGCCTCGGCTTTAGTTGGCGACTTCACCACCATTGCAATGTCTGCAGCAGACATTCCCCGAGATCTTTTCAAGGCGGCGAAGAGCATACCAATAAGTAAATCAACAGAGAATACCGATACTGATGCTTCCCCAAATCTCTCGAAAGAAGAAGCAGCGACACCAAGTACGTTGGACCATAGAGACTCACTGTCCAGCAGCATTCTTTCGAATACACCTACGATGCGCACGTCAAATACGGGTGGTTCAAGCAATACAGCAATCACGGCTGCAACATCGATCCCACAATCCGATACTCGTGACCAAGGAAGTAGTAGCACGCGTGCGGCGAGAGCCGAGTCGATGTCCAATGAACGCATGCATGCGCAGCTGGAAAAGGTATTGGATACCAGTATTAGCATCAACAACATCATATCTGCCGGTGTCAAGACTCCAATGAACTTCTGCATGGGACTCGCGAAAGGTTTCAGGAATGCACCAAAGCTTTACAATGACGACACTGTTCGGCCTGCAGAGAAAGTTACTGGCTTTAGTAGCGGTCTGAAAGTCGCAAGCAAGGAGTTTGGGCTCGGGATGTATGACGGTATCACTGGATTGGTGACTCAGCCTCTCAAAGGCGCTGAAAAGGAGGGTGGTGCAGGGCTCATCAAGGGATTTGGTAAAGGTATTGGTGGCTTAGTCCTTAAATCTGGCGCCGGTAAGTGTTCCTCTTCGAACATATAAAGATGCACGTGTGCTGATATCTCTACAGCCATATGGGGTATACCTGCTTATACTATGGCTGGTGTGCATGCGGAAATCCGTACGTGGTTTGCCGAAAGTGCTCAGAATTATATTATTGCATCTCGCATATCCCAAGGCAATGAAGCCTTCAAAGACTCTTCGCCTGAGGAACGTGATGATACTGAAGTGCGCTGGCTCTGTTTGAGAGACGAAATGAAGGGGTTCTATGCCTTCAAACAAAAGAAGAAAGGCAAATCAAGAGATTCATCACCTTCGGCCCCTTCGGCTGCTTCAGCCTCGGCTAGTACCGAGGACTTAGGCGAGAAGCCCAGGACACGATGGCTCCAAGGTAGAAGTGGTTCTAGCATAGAAGAGAGGCAGGTATTACGGGAACGCAAAAACGCATGGAAGAAAGCGCAAGCCGAAGGGCCGTTCGTCGAAGAAGATTTGCGAAGCATGTCTGGCCGTGATAGTCCACCTGAACTAGGCGACGAATTCGAAGCCGCTATTCAAGCTGCGGTTCAGGAAACTTCGAAAGGAGATGCAGCCGAAGATGCTCAAGTTGAGAAAGCCATTAGGTCCAGCGTACAGATCATGAAGAGGCGGTCAATGAGGAAGAGCCCCTCTACCGATGCCAGCAGACAACGTTCTGGATTTATTCCCGACATAAAGCGTCCCGATGGCGAGCATACCTTCTTGCCCGATGACCTTGAAAACATCACAGATGAAGAGTACCAGGCTCTGATCGAAGAAGCAATTAAGCTGAGCATAGGGGAGAATCAGCAACAAGCCATCCGCATGTATGACGCCGAGGAAGACGATGAGACCCCTGCCTACGACGATGTGGAATATCAGAGAGCAATCGCTGCCTCGCAAGCGGAACACGAGATACGGAAGCAACACGAGCGCGAGGGCGCTGAATTCGACGAAGATGCAATCCGCCAGGCCATCGAAGCCTCCCAGGCCGAACAAAAGGTACCGCAACAATTGTCAGCAGATGACGATGAAGAACTAAAGCGCGCACTCGAGGAATCTGAAAAGGCGCATCAGCAAGAAGTCGCGCGGATGAACTCGTTGAAGTCGGAAGAAGACATCGTCATGGAATACGTCAAGAAGCAGAGTCTCGCAGAGGCCGCGTTCCGTAATGCACGGGGCGGCAATGAGGACGAGGAGCTACGTCAGGCGCTGGAAGAGAGCATGAAAACAGAGGGCGAGATGCAGCGTGGTGGAGGTGGGGGTCCCTCGCGGTCATGAAGATGAAGAAACTGCACCTTGCGCGGGATTAAATTAGATTAGGAGGAAAGGACGGTAGCAATCCGTATGAGATACCCTTATTTGTAGCTGTGTTTTTAACAATACATGATACCACCTCTGTCTGGGAATTTGACGCTGTTTGCTCGACATGAAAAGGGGTTGACTTTGCTTTTCATGCGTTTGTGTCTGTTTGGGTGGGGGGGGGGGGATGGTTTAGGATTGTGTTGAAAGATTACCTTTTCTTTCTAAAAGGTAATGATGTGTTACAAAACCACTACTACTTCGGTAGTATTCTCATATCTCTGATATGTAGATATATCTAAGTAGTCGCCAAAGCTGAGCATTGTATCATGAGGTTCTCGACCGCGAGACCGTCTTTCTATCAAAATAAAAACATCTACTGCAAAGTGAACTAGTACTCAGTATGTAGAAAAGATAAATTAACCAGTCACGATGAGAATAGAAGGGAGGGTCAAATATATTGAAAATATTGCTTGCCAATAGGCAGAGTCATGCGATTCAATTCGTTCATGGTCAAAACGTCATTTAGATCGTACCCCCCCCCCGGTCTTTTTTTCCCTGCACAGGAAACGCCAGATCATCTCTCTTTTTCTCTGTACAATACCAACACCTATGATAGTTGAGATCCACATCTCCGTTTCATTGTATTTCGAGCCCGGTCAAGACTTATCTTCCAAATCGAGGTACCAACTTTAGCAATGTCATTCAGCCAGGAGCAGCTATGGCCTCCGTACGGTCTCTATAGAGTACGAGGCACGAAATGGTTGGTGTTTATCCGTGGGTTGGTTTTATAACAAACCGCAGACAGCCAGTCAATCCCAGAGATCATAGTGCGAAACGCTGATGTTTTAATGGCTCATAAGATTTCACACATAATCGTCTAATGACAGAAGACTGTATGTATTATTGATATCATGATTGACTGTCACCGTGGGGTTTGTTCCTGTTCTTTTCCCTTGACAGAATCCGCTACGGGAGCTGTCAGTCTCGCATCTGGTAAAATCTCTAAAGGTTGAGATTTGGTAGAAGTCGAATCACTACGCCTAACATCCGAACTGCCCCGCCTGCCAAGCGCAGTATCAAACGTGTTTTGCACTGTTGGCGTATTTGCCTGACTACCCCCTCGTTGCCCATGATAATGCACAACCTGTGGGGCTTGCCCATGTTGGCCCAGCAAATGTTGCGGATACGGGTCCAGATCTTTACTAGAGGTGGAAAACGTGGACACTATCGGTTGGTGGTACCCATTCGATGTGCTTGAAGATGGCGTGTGTCCAGATTGTGAAGCAGGTAAAATCTGGCCACTATGCTCAGCTTGTGTCGGGGTCCCCGCTTCATTAGGTGATGCAGAGCCATCGGTCGTAGCGACCTGGGCCACGAGACTCGTCATGCCACCTTCAATATCACGAAGGAGGCGGACATATTCCTCGGGGACAAGCCCGCTTTCCTGAGTCTTAGGATCCTCCGCTACAAGCCAACCTTGCCCATGTCGGTACGATACCCAGATAATTTGACCTTCAACAAGAGGGAGCTCGTTCTCGTTTTCTCGTTCGAAATCAAATAAGGCAACGGCTTTGCCGTGCATTTCCTCGTCTGGCGAGGTAATAGTAAATTGGTAGTCCCGAGAATACCTTGACTCGTCATATGCATTGAAACCCGGCGAAGATGCAACACTCGACGTATCCGATTCGGATTGATATCCAGCGTTGTTTTCGGCGTAGTGTTGAGGCTGCTGGTCTGCCGATCGAAACGCCGCTGTCGATTGACGAGTTTGGTCTGGCGGATACGTGACGAACTCCCCACCAGGACCATTGGCCTCTCCACCTTGGCTCACATAATATCTTTCGCTGCCATCGCCGCTTGTACCAACGTAGTATCTCGTCTCGGTGTTGAAGTGGCTGCCACCCATACCAGATGATCCATCGCTCCTCGGCTTCCCATGCCCCATAGTCGCAGAGGTGGACTTGTTTTTCCTGTGCCGAGAACTAACAACAGGACTATGGAGATCCTCATCCTCACTCCACGGAGGCCCGTCGCCAAAGTGGATCGGGGCCAACTCCCCGCTCTTTCCGTATCCACCATCTGCCGTCCATTCCCACGATGTCTTGCTATCCCATGATGGCGGAGGGTCGGACAATCGTCGCGATTCACTAGCAGGTGTAATCATTCCGGACGGCGGTCGAGAAGGTTCTGGAGGGGGGCCATAGTGCATAGGATTCACCGGCGGATAGGCGAAATCACGGACAATGGTGTAGGAGAGGCTTGAATGGAATATAGGGAATAAATGAGACGTGGGGCGTGACCGCGACGGAATGGAGCCCGTCGAGTACTGAGAGAGCCTGTTCTTGGAAGCGTGCGACATTGGGCGAGGAATTGCAGATCGACGCGAGGGCGGCGATGTTATTAAAGGAGGCAATGGGGGGTGGTTCGGATTCGGTGAAGGAGAATGCGACAAGATTACTGCTGGAGGCGATGTCGCCGGAGATGAGCCAGAGGACATGATTGCAGCCATTGGGGGGGGAAAGGGCCGAGGGAGTCTTTCGACTTTGGTTTGATTTGGTGTGCGTACCCTGGGTTCGATATCCAAAAGAGCAATTAGGATATTCGTATATATGTATGTCCACGTATGCGCAGTTGGCGAAGAAAGTATATAGTGACGTCGGGGTAGCGAGGCTGATGGCCGCTTAACAGTCTTGTCCTGCAAGCTGTATCCCACCGACGCCTAAGTCGATCAATTGCTCCGTCTTAAAGAGGCGCAGGTTGCCGGTGCGGCAAAGCACGAGTATATATATATATATATATGTGCGTGTATATAGATCTCGAAGTATACAACCCGCGGATGATTCGATGTAGGCGACTGCGACGATGAAACAATATGGCCCCGTGAACTTGTTGGGAGCTCGTCGGTTGGCGTGAATGAGACTATCCTCGTAGCACCGTGGTGAGCACACAATGAAATATAGGTACGAAGTACAAAGAAGCAAAAAGCCTTAGGTAGACTCTAGAAGGCAACGGCCGGTATTGCAGGCAGACAAGACAGGAAGGCAGATGAAGTTGCCAGGGCTAACAGGGTCAAGTGGGGTGTAAACCCTATGCTACGGACCTTGGGCTACCTAGCGGCTCTCGCGCAGTGGGGTGCGGAGGGATATGCAGAAACACATTTGTATGCTTTGCGAACGTATAGTCGCCGTGGGCGGAAACAAGAGGGCAAAGGCCAAGGCCAAAACGATGGCGAAAAAGAAGGTGAGGTTAAGTAAGGCACAAGACAGGTCGATAGGTATGGGTCACCTAGCCGAGCGTGGACACCAAGCAGGCAGGGCAGGCAGGGCAGGGCGGGCAGACAGGCAGGCAGGCAGGCAAGGCGAGGCCATCCGAGGTGTATCGTGGCGGTGCGGGTTTGTCTACTTGGCCTGGGGGGCAGAAGACAAAGAACAAGGAAACAAACAATTGAAACAATTGGAACAATTGGATGGAGGGTGGAGAAGGGGAACAGGGGGGCAAGCAGATGGCCACCTGTGTTATAGATGAGGTATGTATAGACAAATCGAGTGGGAAAGGGAAAGGGTAAGGGAAAGGCAAGGAGCCATGAAGTGAACCATAGACGAAGGGACAGACAGCCAGCCAGACAGACAGACAGACAGACAGACAGACAGACAGATGGACGGACGAACAGACAAGGAGAGGGTTGAGGGAAGAGGTGGGAGAGTGGACCGTCGGCTCGTGATAGGTAGCTAAGGTTTAGGTCGGTTGGTTGGTTATGAAGCTGTGTGTGCAGGTAAGTTACTTACCTACTTTACCTACAGGTTACCGGTAGGCGCCCTACCTACCTAATATGTACCTACTTATGTACCTACTGCTAGGGAGTATATAGGTTACCTTACCTAGGTCAGGATACCTACATGCCGGTAGGTAGGTAGGTAAGTGGTATTTTCTTTTGGAAGAGGTCACCTGAAGACTACCTAGGTATGTAGTTGAATGGATGATCATATACAGACACTTGGAGAACACGAGACTGGACACATACTTAGTATTCAGATAGACTACCTACCTACCTAGGTATGTCCTATACATACCTAGGTAGGTAGGTAGGCATGCGTGATGCATGTCGATACTAACTTAGGTTCTGTCAGGCTCGGTAGAGTCGAAGCAGCTTTGGCTCGCTGCTGGCTGTGCATCACATGTACAGATATTGCAACAGAACGACAGCGAAGAGCAATACCAACATCAACCACCGTCTTGGCGAGCATACTATATTCCCTCTCTCCCTTTCTCCCTTTCTCCGTCCCTACTGTGAGTATGCTATGCCGGCCGAGTGGAGTACATACATACATACATACATACGACTCGTCCTTCTCTCTAATGGACGGCGCTTGTCTGGACAGAACTTGCATCTACCTAGGTATATACATAAGTATGTAGCACTAAGTAGACATGGGACCTACGTACTTAGTAAGTACCTACCTACCTAGTGTAAGAGCCCCAGCCTATAAATTCCTGGCAGTCACCTATCTGAGTTATGTAGTTATGCAGGTGTGTACTATGTACGCTGTATGGAGACCAATATCTCTTGGTCAATGTTGCATTATCGACTTTCCAAGATTCTGTACGTCACAGGCGTGCCTGCGTAAGTAGGGCGAAAGCAATAAATCGTACTCAAGATTGTATCAGATTGTATCGTGAGGCGGTGATACGCCGATATATCGATATATCGATAAGACAAGGACAACCCTTCGAGCAGCCGCTGCGGGGTGGCGGCCGATCGTTCACGATCTATTGAAAACTACCTACAAGGGGTATACATAGTATATAACGAACCGTCAGGTCGGGGAGCCTATAGGGATGTTCCAGTACGTACGGCGTATCCGAAAAGACTCCCTACGTTGATCCCCGCCAACTTACAACTGCTAGACGCCTAGGTAGATAGGTAGATGCTGGAGGAGTGGCCGAAGATGAAATGACATGCAGCCAACACCGCTTTTTGACTCGTGCAGAGCCCAAAGACGCACGAACCCAACCATTAATGCATGTCAGCAACTGTGAAACAAGTCGGCCACGTGATGAGCTCCAGATACTTGGTGCATCTGGTCGGTTGTGTTGGCGACGTCTGATTCGGCAGACAGAGAGAGGATGTGCAGTGTTGCAGCGCCTCGGAGTTGGACAGGGACAGCACAGCCGCCGATGTATGTATGTATGTATGTATGTATGTATGTATGTATGCATGGGGATCTGAACCATCATTCTTTACCATTATCCTCTACCACTATTACTACTCGAGGCTACGTGAGGCAAAGCATCGCGTCTAATGGAAGAAGAGTGTGCCCAATGAGACATGTAGTCGGGTGCAGGGAACTCTACATAGAACCCATTGGTCCGATTGCAAGCATCATGAATAAACTAAACTACACGCAGACAACCTCCTCAAGTCGATGAATAATACTTACATACCTAGTAAGTAGTAGTGTGCTACAGTAGCATTTGTACTACTAGTTGGCTCTATTTTTAGCTGAGACTACCGGTGCGTGTATCGAGGTACATAGGTATCCCTTCCATTTCCGGACATGCATATGTAAGTACTACGGAGTATGTAAATATCCGCTAGTCTGACGTAATTAGCTCTTCATTTTAGCAATAGTTATCTTTAGCCTGACTTTCTCCGGGTCAATATTGCTATACTATATTTACCGACCCTACGGGTTGAATTTTCTTGCACCTGCCACATGGAACGCTGACACACTACCGGTAAATCGCAACCTTCCCCAATTGCTGCTTTGGGTCAACTCGGTCACATCCATTTAACCTCCTCAACACTATGAGGCAGTCTTCCACGCTCTTTCACTTTCCATGACGCTCTAGATCCCAGTTAGCTACATACCAATAGGCATGATGCGACTCGGAAACAGCTTGTCCTACCTAGATTGACCCACCTCGACTAAATGCAAGCTCGCTAAGGCTTTTCCCTTCTGCACGAGCTCTCTATAAACATCAAGGTATGTAAAATGAAACGCGTTTCCTTGAGCTACGCGAGATATCCCTTCTCTTTCATGATGAAATTTTTATTGGAGCTGTCTGATTTACCATGGTGACACCCTACATATTACCATACGCAACAATTCTGAATACTAGAGAAAATTTTTCTGTCGGTCCGAAATGCGCTTCTCGTCAGTCCACATCGCTGACCATTCATAGTAGAGCTCATCCACGTTTTTAGAGCAAATAGCGAATCCTAGTTGAATAAATACGACCTGTACGAACGAAGAAGAAATATATAGATTCGTAATTTCATGATGGAGGTTGCTAATGGAGCCGCCACGGCCGCCACACCGGCAGAGAATGGCGAGCGAGAAGACGTCGGAGGATACAAATTGAAGTTCTGCACCGTTTGTGCAAGTAACCAGAACAGGTACGTGCTTGTCTTACTAGTTTAGAGAACCGATCAACTTGGCAACTGTGAGACTAATACTTCATAGATCGATGGAAGCGCATCTTCGTTTAGCGCAAGCCAACTATCCCGTCATCTCCTTTGGTACCGGCTCTCTCGTCCGCTTGCCTGGGCCTACTATCCATCAACCTAATGTATACCCATTCAACAAGGTTTCCTACGACACCATGTATAAAGAATTGGACAGGAAAGATCACAGGCTATACACAGCCAATGGCCTATTGAACATGTTGGGAAGAAATAGACAGGTGAAGTGGGGTCCAGAGCGCTGGCAAGACTGGCAAATAGGGTACCCGAGAACCGAACAAGGCAAAGACAGTGGCCATATCGGCACAGAAGGAGGCATTGTAGATGTCGTCTTTACCTGCGAAGAGAGATGCTGGGATGCTGTCATAGATGATCTGCTCAATCGAGGATCACCCTTAAATCGTCCCGTCCATGTCATTAATGTCGACATCAAGGACAACCATGAAGAGGCCTCTATCGGTGGATCGGGTATTTTGGATCTGGCAGAGTCGCTCAACAAAGCAGCTAGAGAGGAGCGGGAAGTCCTGGGCGCTACGGCGTTCGATATGGCCACTGCTGCAAGCAGGATGTCGTTTGATGAGCGAGTCCCTGAAATCATTGGCGAGTGGCAAGAGCGCTGGCCCAACCTGCCAGCGACATGGACGCTAGCTTGGTTCTAGCTTCTATGATTATGACTTATGCCTTCTTTTCTTCTTCTTTTTTTTTTTTACGATACCAGGAACTACCGTAGTTAGTTCCATGTTCATGATACGGGCACTTGGGACGAATGGCGTTTGGAGAAAGAGCAGGGACCACGAAAGGGATACGCACAATCTATATATGGCTAAATAATATTATCCCAATTCGATGAGCACCCTCATGATAGCTTTCTATGCACTAGCATGCAGTGAGGCCGCATAGCACAGATTTACTTGGCTGATTAGGTACAAGGCAATAAAGGCAAAGCAAAGCAACGCACTATAGAAGTCGTTCGCCTGCCAGCAGAATCCCATTCCATTTTTCCTTATTGTCTCTACCCGGTCAAATGCTCATGTTGGAGTAAGCCTCATGACGTCGCTTGTTATGAGGTCAGTCAGTTCACCTGACAACAGGCGGACGGACTGGAATGTTTTGTAGGGAATGAAACATCGGAAACGTCCCGAAGGAGGATTGTGATGGTGAGACTAGGACATCTTTCGACATTTAAATTTAAGCACGTCAATGGCCTATTACTAAGGAATTCTCGGAATGGATACCACCTGGGAACGGACTGTCCCCATTGCTGCTGAGATACAGTAGATTAGGTAGCAGGTATAGTGGTGAGCTGTACTTGGGCTGAAAGGCTCAAACACAGCCTGAGACGGAGGCTGCGACGAGGAATCGAGGATCATGGCCGCCCCCGTGCACGGATGAATCAAGCCGGAAACAATAGTTTGGTTTCTTCTTGTGAAACATTTCTTGCGCCGCGACGCAGGCAGCATTTACTATTGAACAGCGAAGGTTTTTTTTTTTTTGCGTAGTTAATTATAACTACTCTACATATTTGACTTGCTGATTGTCATGACGATTTTGCATGGTCGCTGGTCGGTCGGTAAGGAGGGAGTTACTTATGCACTTGCAGTAGAGTGGTGAGTTCTAGAACGCTGTGGTCTAGGTATCCTTGTCGAGGAACTGCCGAGGCTTCCTAACCTTAAGTATTCTTTCGATGCAAGTATCGTATAGGTATAGCAATTTCCCAGCCATACTTGTGAGGTTGCGTACCCTCTCTCTCTCACGTCAATTACAAATTTATGTGTTATGGTGTAGGTAGTTGTCAACCCGAGTCCGTCACCGGTACCATGACTTGAAGAATAATTCAGCCTCCGAATTTCCCATTGGCTGGGTTGGGGAGGGGGGTTTTGAGACGGATGGTTGCTAGGTATGCTGATCCCAGAATTCAGGAGGATCTTTAAATTTTTGCAGAGGCGGGTCTTTTCTACCCAGATGGATTGCGCCTGGCGACTTTAGGCTAGGAAGATAACATTTAATTACGCTTGTACGCATTCATTTGCCTTACGCGTATGCCTCTATGTCCTACCTGGGTAGATATGTATGTATGTGCCATTCGAGATTGCAGCGTACGATAGAGGATGTTGTCGCGATGTGATCAAATTGGTAGGCAGGCACACGATAGAAGCGCGCGCGAACGGTACAGGTAAGAGGCCAATAGTACCTAGGTATTGGTTTAGACGCCTTGAAGCCAATTCTAGTGCTCAGGTGGTGCAGATGTCTGCACAAGCTATACATGTTGCTTCTGACGAATGAGGAGCCGACATGGACGCCTCCTTTCATAATCTAAGCAAGGGATTGCAATGCCACCACTACCGATTCGGTGGTGTTGTGGCGACGTCAAAAGTAAGTTGGCGAACAACGTGATGTGACTGTGTGGCAGGGGGCTTGCGAGGACGCTGGACAAGCATGAAGGAAGTACATAGTAGTGGCAGATAGTGGGAAGAAGCAACAGATCATCGATGAGACAGTGGTGGACAATAGGTAAACAAGAAAATGCCTCTAGCAGGACGATCTGTTCTATTTGTGCCTGGGCTGAGATCTATCTATCTATCGACGGGCACTTTGTCGATCTCTGGAGCGTTGGCAAATCTTCACTGAGGCCTCAGAGTACTACATGTATGTACATACCTATAGTATCGATAGCACAGAGAGAGCACTATTATAGACAGTGTGTGCCATCATCTGCGTACTGTGTTGCAAATTGCCCAATTAGGACCAGCGGGTGCCTGGCATTGCATGGATTCCACGGTAATGAGCCCAATGTACTGACCAGTGACAGCCAGAGGCTGGGTTGCTAGCCTGCAAGATCGCAGTGTATTAGCAGATGGGAGGTGGGCGAGGTGGGGTAGCAACATGGGGAAGGAGAAGCCCATAATTTCAACTAAGATTGTAGTGTAGCAGCGTGTGCCAACAAGTTCAAATATTCCCAGCACTTACTACCTATTAGTACTTTGAGTATGGACATGGTGTACAGTAGATACTTGGGTATAAGTCGGGCAGCAGCTAGAGGCAACAAGAGGCATGGGAACTCAAGTCCTTGACTTTGGATGGATGCCATCGAGGCCGTTAGGAAAGAAACAAGGTCGAACCAAAGTCTGTAGGTAGGTAGGAAGTAGGTACATACCTAGGTACCTACTTACGCCCCTTTCCACCGGCCAATCGAGGTACCGAAGTTAGGCTTGCGAGGCTTGCTAGCAGCGCACACTACCGCCGGCAACAACCCCTGACTAGGTAGCTATAGTGCATCTGTAGGTACGCATAGGTAGGTAAGGTAGTACTTAGCAGGCAAGGTAGGTGCAGTGTGTCCGGTGTATTATTGGCCTGATACAGCTCCATCCTTCCCCCGTTTCTCACGTCGGCGTCGGGGATTCTCACTCCTCCTTCTCCTCCTTCCCTCTGCCTGCCTGCCTGCCTGTACACTACATCTTGGACATCTTGGACTTCTTGTACTTCTTGTACATACCTACATCACATTCTCCCGCTTGGCCTCCCTTCTCTCTCTCTCTCTCTCTCTCGGTAGCAGTGTCTTGCGTCTCGACAACCCTCTCCCATGCCAATGGCCGCCGACCATTAGACCGTTTACTCTAGCCACCCAACTTTTCCTACCCTCTCCTTGCCGTGACTGGTAACTCTATCATCGCTTCATGTTGCTGCGTTGATCTTCCAAGTCCGTAGAGCTAACCTTCACAACTATCCCCCTTTTTTGGACTTTGCTCAGCACGAGCATTTTTGAGATACCAACTATAGTCGCCCATTAGCAACCGCACCTCTTTTTCAATTCCCAGCCCTTTGGCACGTGGACCCAGGGGTATTTCCAGGACAAGACAAGACTACACTCACACTCTTCAACACCTCGTTTCCCGGCTCCCTGTCCTCGGATCGCACCGCGTCGATTGACTTCATCCAGCTGCTACACCTGAGCCACGACATTGCTTGAATTTCTTGGAGATACAAGGTCTTGTACAAACATAATAGATAATTTTCGACTGAAAACTAATTCGATAATTAATTTCCTGGCGAACGTAATAATCGCGCGGCACGATCGCTGACTTCGAGATTCCATTCATTCCTCTACAACCAGTACACGTTCACTTCGACTCTCTGGGTACGTCGAGTGAAAAATCGAACAGAGCCGATTAACGGGCTGATCGAAACGGGCCCGGTGGATTGACTGGATCACAACCGGATACCGAAGAGGGTGCTGCATAGGATTGCGTAGCGCCGGCTGGGCTGGCCTGGAAACACGAAGCCCCTTCTCTGGCGCACGATCCTTCTAGGATCATATCACTATCAGCTCCTTTGTTCCGACTGGACGAGGCCACATCCTCGCCTGAGCTACCGACAGCCCCCGATCTTTCTCTTGAATATGAACAATCGCAATGCACCACTGTCACCTGTCTCTATAGGTGGTAGTAGTGAGTGGTCCGGTCCTTCGAAATACCAAGCCGACGGTCTTTATCCTAATAATCGCGGTCTTGCCTCTCCTCCAGATTCTGGAAGCCCTGGCGGAATGATGAATGGTTTTCCTGGCGGGCCCAGGAGTGTCGGCGGCCCTTCCCCTCCACCCTCTGTTGGCCGTTCTAGTACCTATGCGCACAGTGAGAGCGGACGAAGTATACGCGAAGATAATACCGAGGCTGTATTAGGAGAACATTATGTCGCACTCAGAAGGTACTTGGCCTCCACATCCAAGGATGGGAGAGCGAATCCGCCCCCAAATAAGGCCCGAGACAAGCTTCTCAGGTTGTCATCCGTCCAGTTCCTTGAACTATCTACCGATGTTTTTGATGAGTTGATGCGGCGCCAGATAAGGCGACCGCCGCCAGGTGCGCCTCCCAACACCGGGCCGCCCCCTTACCTTATGCCGGAGCCGAATTTTCATCCAAAGCGCAACCAGGCCCGCCAAAAGCTTTCTACTCTTGGCTCCCCAAGGTTTAGAGACTTAGCTACTGATGTTTTCTGCGAGCTGGAGAGGCGCATTCCAGCATTCGTCGCAAGCGTTACACCTCGCCGAAGTAATCCTGGAGCACCTCCTGGCGCTCCACCGAGCAGGACCGGGACTCCCGTGAATGGCATGGGAATGCCCAGAGGGCCGAACGGTGCTATGAGGAGGCCATCTGATGCAAGCTCTATTCGTTCTGCCGGTCCACCAAGAGTCCCCAGTGACTTTCCAGTACCACCTTCACCTGTAGTGCCAACTAATGGCAATTTCGACCGACCATTGCCTAAACAGTTTCAAAGTAATACAATTGTTCCAAATAAGAGCACAATGGTCGAGGAAGATGATGATGGTACTGGCTCTAACGATGAGGATAACGATGGTGTTGGCTCTCGTGGTCGTGATAGCAAATCTGATAACAAGGCAGAGTTATTAAGCCCCGCTTCAGAGGTAATTTTCTCACACCGGCACGAATCCTCACAGTATAAACTGACACATAGTAGATTGATAAGAAGCTTCTCGACGACTACCAAAAACAAGTCCAAGACCTACAAGAAAAGTTGCAAGGTATGGAAACTGAGATGAAAAAACGAGATGAAGAAGTCGCCATCTTAAAGGATGACGAGCGCTCCCGGAGTACTGCGTCAAATGCAGAGAGGAAAGAATGGGAATCGTTGCGCACAGGTTTGGAGAGTAAATTAGCAGACATGGAAGGTGTGAACGCTTCGATGCGAAATGAGTTCGAACGTCTGAGAGAAGAGCATGCCGCAGAGAGCAGAGCTCTGCGGAGCGACCTCGAAGAAGCTCACCAGAGCAACCGTGGCATTGACGACTCGGCAATGATGAGAGAAAACGAAGAGCTTCGCCTAGCTTTACGGGAACAGCAGCAGGTGACAGATGAAGCTCGCCGCGAAGCGCGACAATTCCTGGAAGAGATGAGGGCTCTTTCCCAGCAACACATGCCAT